TAGGCTAAGTATATATATATATAATATATGTGTATAATAAATGCTCTTGCATGATACCTTAAAACAATAATAGATCATGCAAATCTACAACTTGGCACGAATACTCAATCAAGTGAACAATGGTGGAGTTTGGGGAAAATAGATTTGACATTTGGGAGTTGTATTTGCTGGGATATATAGTTCACCTACAATCAAAGAGCATTCTGAACTCTACCAACGATGGAATTGAACAAAACTTGGCACACAGAACTCCAATGACCAACAGAAAATATTGGAAGGGTTTGGTGGGCATTGAACTTGAGTTTTGAAGTTGTAGTTCACCTACATCCAGAGAGCACTGTGGACTCAAACAATGATGGATCTGGACCAAACTTGGCACAAGCACTCAATACGCCCAAATATCAACACAGATGGAGTTTGGGGGAAATAGACCTTGACATTTGGGAGTTGTAGTCACTAGGATTCACAGTTCACCTACAATCAAAGAGCATTCTGAACCCCACCAATGACAGAATCGGGGCAAATTCCCACACAGAACCCCCATGACCAACAGAAAATACTTAAGGCCATCCAATCCAACTCCCTTCATCAGGGCAAGAAAACGTAATCAAAGTCCTCCTGACAAAGAGCCATCCAGCCATAGATAGATAGATAGATAGAGAGAGGGATGGATATATATATATATATATATATATATAGATAGATAGATAGATAGATATGATTCACACACACAGATATAATATCATTGATTTGAAAGGGACCCTTAAAGAAGGACAATGATCTGTTGCATGTTCCAGGGTGGACAAACCAGACACTCTCCACATCAAGACTGAAAGAAGCACCATTAAAGCCTTGACAGACCGTGCAAAAAGAATCTGCGAACCCCACCTCCTCCAAGATGAACTGAACCACCTCAACTGGGCTCTCCAGGCCAATGGAGACTCCACCTCAGACATCAGAAGAGCTGCAAGACCAAGAACAAGCCACGAGAGTAAAGATGAAGATCCACCCAGAGGAAAAGTGTTCCTGCCATACATCAAGGGAACCACTGATCGCATAGGGAAGCTGATGAGGAAACACAACATACAAACCATCTACAAACCCACCAAGAAAATCCAACAAATGCTACGTTCAGCAAAGGACAAGAGGGATCCTCTCACCTCTGCAGGAGTCTACCGTATACCATGCAGCTGTGGACAAGTCTACATAGGGACCACCAAACGCAGCCCAAACACGAATCAAGGAACATGAAAGGCACTGCAGACTACTTCAACCAGAGAAGTCAGCCATAGCAGAGCACCTGATGAACCAACCTGGACACAGCATATTATTTGAGAACACAGAAATGCTGGACCACACCAACAACCACCATGTCAGACTACACAGAGAAGCCATTGAAATCCACAAGCATGTGGACAATTTCAACAGAAAGGAAGAGACCATGAAAATGAACACAATCTGGCTACCAGTATTAAAAAACTCTAAAATTATAACAGCTAAACAACAGAGAGGAAAAAACCAGGCACAGATTAACACCTCCCAGCAACAGATTTTCCCAGGCTCAGGCAGGCCTTCAAATGCTAATGAAGGTGATCAGCTAAACATTCACACCTAACTGCAGCAGGGAAGAGCTCCTTGCCCCACCCCAGCCATTCCACAGATATATAAACCCATTTTTCCTAATTCCAACAGACCTCACTACCTCTGAGGATGCTTGCCATAGATGCAGGCGAAACGTCAGGAGAAATGCCTCTAGAACATGGCCCTATAGCCCGTAAAAAACCTACAAGAACCTAGTACAAGAAGTACTGTTTACCCACAAGCATATTAAATTACATATATTAGAAACCAACACTTTGTAATTACTTTATTTTCCAGATCACCAGACTGGACCACAGCAACGCGTGGTAGGGGACGGCTAATATATAATATAATATAATATAATATAATATAATATAATATAATATAATATATGTCAATGAATAAGATAAAACTTTGGTACTTACTGTTGTTTTGCACTGAGGTCTGGGAGAAATTGGAAAAACTGTCTGTTCAAAAATTGGAGGAACATAAAAACAGTAAATGCTATTTTAAAATTGAAATGTAACATATAATAATAATAATAATAATAATCTTTATTTATAACCCACCTCCATCTCCTCAAAGGGGACTCAGGGCAGCTAACATGAGGCCAAGCCCAAACATAATCCAACATAATAAGACACCAAACAACAAAAACTACATCATAACAGAACAAATAAAATAAACAGTATAAAATAGCATAATAAAATCAAACACAAATTAAATGCCTGACACAGTTGGAAAGGTTTGTAAGAAAGGATCATTCAGTTGTGAACACTATGCACATGTATATCATAAGGTTCTTGTGGGTTTTTTCGGGCTATAGAGCCATGTTCTAGAGGCATTTCTCCTGACGTTTCGCCTGCATCTATGGCAAGCATCCTCAGAGGTAGTGAACCTCACTACCTCTGAGGATGCTTGCCATAGATGCAGGCGAAACGTCAGGAGAAATGCCTCTAGAACATGGCTCTATAGCCCGAAAAAACCCACAAGAACCTAGTGATTCCAGCCATGAAAGCCTTCGACAATGTATATCATAACTTTCTTAAGTTCTGAATTCTACTTTGCCATAAAACGCAATTTTAACTCTGCAAGAGGGAAACTGCGGAAACAGTTTGGAGCAGGAACATCATCCCTTTCTTGCTCACCCCATCTCATTTATTCATTACAATTATCTTTGTCTTTGCTTCAAGATAGCTTGAAAATACATTTCCACTCCAGTGTGTTGTTTTCAAAACCATCCTTAGCTAAGGCTGTTTCAAACTCCGAAAACTACTGATGCCCAGATTGTTTGTGGCACTGCAGTATATTGTGGTGTTGCGGCAAGGTTTGTAGTGCTGCAGCATTTTGTGACCCAATAGGAGCACATTTTGTGTAGCAGGGCCCTGGGAAATTGCAAGCAGAGTGTGATAGAAATATTTGTCCCTTATTCATTGTATCTATTATTCAAAGATACAGTGATTGTTTAGATGGATGCTGCATTTATCTGTCACAGCAACTCTGGGCACAGTTAAGCATAGAGACAATCTTCAATATACTTACTCCTTTAATATATACTACACGACCTGGAGGGCCTGGAAGGCCAGGAGGTCCAGGCAGACCAGGGAGGCCCTGGAAAGACAAAAAATGAGGAACCATCAGGCATTATTATTATTATTAACTTTATTTATTTATTTATTTATTTTTATTTACTCCTTTTGTATACCGCCTATATCAGCCATACAAGGCGACTCTAAGCGGTTTACAGTAAAAAAAGTGCAACATTAAACAATGCATGTGACAGACATCCACAAACAATACACATAACGTCATCACGCCTCGAATAAAATCAGATCCAAATCTCATAGTCATTTTACCATTCCTTGTTCAGTATGCCGTCTTCTGAGTCAGATGTTATTGCATGCTTATCCGAACGCCTGTTCGAAGAGCCACGTCTTCACCCGCCTTCTAAACGCCAGTAGCGATGGGGCCTGTCTGATCTCCGTTGGTAGGGCATTCCATAGCCGAGGGGCCACCACCGAGAAGGCCCTGTCTCTCGTCCCCGCCAGCCGCACTTGTGATGCTGGCGGGACCGAGAGCAGGGCCTCCCCGGACGATCTTAGTGTCCTCGCCGGTTCATGCGTTCGGAGAGGTAAGTGGGGCCGGAACCGTTTAGGGCTTTATAGGCTAAAGCCAGCACCTTGAATTGTGCTCGGTAGCAGATTGGCAGCCAGTGGAGCTGGCTCAACAGTGGAGTGGTGTGCTCCCTGAGTGCCGCTCCCGTTAGCAACCTGGCTGCCGAGCGCTGGACCATCTGAAGCTTCCGGGCAGTCTTCAAGGGCAACCCCACGTAGAGCGCGTTGCAGTAATCTATGCGGGATGTGACAAGAGCGTGGACTACCGTGGCCAAGTCCGACTTCCCAAGATACGGGCGCAGCTGGCGCACGAGCCGAAGCTGTGCAAATGCTCCTCTGGAGACCGCTGAAACTTGGGGTTCCAAGCTTAGCGAAGAATCCAGAGTCACACCCAAGCTGCGAACCTGCGTCTTCAGGGGGAGTGCGACCCCGTCCAACACAGGCTGTAACCCTATACCCTGTTCGGCCTTCCGACTGACCAGGAGTACCTCTGTCTTGTCTGGATTGAGTTTCAATTTGTTCACCCTCATCCAGTCCGACACAGCGGCCAAGCACCGGTTCAGGACCTGAACAGCCTCCTTAGTAGTGGGTGGAAAGGAGTGACAGAGTTGGACATCATCTGTGTACAGATAACACCGCACCCCGAAACTCCGGATGATCTCTCTCAACGGCTTCATGTAGATGTTAAACAACATGGGGGACAGTATTGAACCCTGCGGGACCCCACAAGTCAATGGTTGTGAGGACGAGCAGGTGTCCCCCAGTAACACCTTCTGGGTACGATCCTCTAGGAAGGACCTGAGCCACTGTAGAACAGTGCCCCCCAGGCCCATTCCCACGAGGCGTCCCAGAAGGATACCGTGGTCGACGGTATCGAAGGCCGCTGAGAGATCCAGCAGAACTAACAGAGACACACTCCCCCTGTCAAGCTCACGCCGGAGATCATCGACCAAGGCGACCAAGGCTGTCTCGGTACCATGCCCCGGCCTAAAGCCAGACTGCGCCGGATCCAGATAATCAGTGTCTACCAAGAATGCTTGGAGTTGTGAGGCCACCACACGTTCCAGGACTTTGCCCAAAAAGGGGAGATTGGAAACAGGCCGATAGTTGACGAATTGAGTGGGGTCCAGTGATGGTTTTTTCAACAGCGGTTTTATTACAGCTTGTTTTAAGCTGGCTGGAATTATGCCTTCCCGAAGGGAGGCATTAACCACCACCTTTACCCACTCGGCCAATCCCCCTCTGGCCTCCTTTAGAAGCCAGGATGGGCAGGGGTCTAGGATGCATGTGGTTGCCCTCATCCCTCCCAACACCTTGTCCACATCCTCAGGTGTCACAAATTGAAACGAATCCAACAAACTCGGACAGACAGGTGCACTCGTCACATCCACAGAGACTGCCGTTAACATGGTGTCTAGACCTGAACGGATCAAAGCGACTTTGTCCGCAAAGAACCGAGCAAATGCTTCACAGCGGGCTGTCGAGTTGCCAGGGCTCCCATCCTCAATGGTGGGTTTTAATAGGCCTCTGACAACTCGAAACAGCTCCGCCGGACGGTTCTTTGCGGACGCAATATTGGCCGCAAAGAAGGATTTCTTTGCAGCTTTTATTGCCACGGCATATGCCCTTAATAGGGCAACAAACCGTGTTCGGTTTGACTCGCTCGGGTCCGAACGCCACACACGCTCTAGTCTCCTCTTCTTTCGCTTCATTGCTGCCAGCTCCTCGGTAAACCAAGGGGCTGGTTTAGCTCGGCTACTCGAGAGGGGACGTTCCGGAGCGATCGTGTCTATAGCCCTGGTCATCTCCCTATTCCAGAGAGTTACCAAGGCCTCAACAGGATCACCAACCGAAGCGGCAGGAAACTCCCCAAGAGCCGTCAGGAATCCATCCGGATCCATAAGCCTCCTGGGGCGGACCATCTTAATGGGTCCCCCACCTCTGCAGAGGTTCGGTGGTGCGGTAAGTCTAAAGCTGATCAGATGGTGGTCGGTCCATGGCAACGGAGAGATAGATAACTCCTCAACCCCGCCACCTTGCTCCCATCCCTGCCAGAAAACCAAATCTAATGTGTGTCCAGCACTGTGGGTGGGGCCAGTTACTTGTTGGGACAGCCCCATGGTTGCCATGGAAGACATGAAGTCCTGAGCCGCTCCCACTAAGGTAGTCTCGGCGTGTACATTGAAGTCCCCCAGCACAAGAAGCCGTTGGGACTCCAATGACAGGCTCGAGACCACCCCTGCAAGCTCAGGTAGGGAGACTGTAGTGCAGCGAGGTGGGCGGTACACTAACAGAATCCCTATTCTGTCCCGGTCCCCCACCCTCAGGTAGACACATTCAAAATTAGTTGACTGTGGGATGGGGCCTCTGCTCAGCGAGATGGAATTTTTATAGACTACCGCCACCCCGCCTCCCCGCCCCCCAGGTCTCGACTGGTGCTGCACGGAGAAGCCTGGAGGGCAAAGCTGGGTTAAATTAACTCCTCCAGCTTCGTCCAACCAGGTCTCCGTAATGCACGCCAGATCTGCCCGTTCATCCAAAATTAGATCTTGGATGAAAGATGTTTTACCGTTGACAGATCTGGCGTTCAACAGCACCATCTTCAACCCGGGGGGACTGCCAGCCTGGGTACGTCCATTTACCTTGTCAGGAGACCAATTACATTTTATTAAATTTTTTTGGTTTCTTTTTTTTTTGTTTCTATACCGAATTTGCGGTGGTATTTCTCTGTCATTTTGGAGCCGAATTACTGGCCGAATTGGTGGTCTCCCTTTCCCGCATCTCCCCCTCCCCATTAAGGTTTCTATGGGGGCCCCTCGACCAATGGAATGCTCCTCCCCATCCATATTGCACCTTGATATTGCAACCTCATCCCTTGATTCCTTCCAGAGTCCTCCGTTCCCTCCCCTATTTGCCAGCAGTGTTATTAGCAGATACCACAAAATAAGGGGAGACATGGGTGAACGCAGAACAGTCGTAATATACAGGTCATAAAGTGCTATTAATGACCTCTTAGATCTACCAAGTCATTAGGGGGATTGAGGACCTATGGTATCGCAGAGGGTCAAAGTGCACAAGTATAAAGTGCACGAGGTTTTAAAGTGCGCAGATTTTAGTTTTTAAAGTGCTCAATTCTAAAGTGCAGTAATCGATGACTCACTAGCTAGTGCAATTGGATGGATAAGTGCAATAGGATGGGGGATTAACAACAGATTTTGTTCATTTTCATGGTCTCTTCCTTTCTGTTGAAAGTGTCCACATGCTTGTGGATTTCAATGGCTTCTCTGTGTAGTCTGACATGGTGGTTGTTGGTGTGGCAATCTGGCTACCAGTATTAAAAAACTCTAAAATTACAACAGCAAAACAGCAGAGAGGAAACAACCAGGCACATCTTAACACCTCTCAACAGGGGATTTTCCCAGGCTCAGCCAGGCCTTCAAATGCTAATGAAGGTGGTCAGTTGAAACATTCACACCTAGCTCCAGCAGGGAAGAGCTCCTTGCCCCACCTCAGCCATTCCACAGATATATAAACCCATTGTCCTAATTCCAACAGACCTCACTACCTCTGAGGATGCTTGCCATAGATGCAGGCGAAACGTCAGGAGAAATGCCTCTAGAACATGGCTCTATAGCCCGAAAAAAACCCACAAGAACCTAGTGATTCCAGCCATGAAAGCCTTCGACAATACATTATTAACTTTATTTGTACCCCGCTAGCATCTCCCGAAGGACTCGATGCGGCTTACAACGGCCAAGGCCTCAAAACACAACATAACAATACAAAACCTAAAGCAAAAACAGTTAAAGCAATATTAAAACAACAAGTAATAAAACAATACACCAAGACACGATAAAATTGGGCCGGGCCAGAGTAATGGGTATAGATTAAAAGTGCTGATGTGACAGGTGATATGTAAGGATTATAGGGTAAGTGCAGTGTGCCGGCAATCTTAATTTCTACTAAAGTGCTTCTGGGACTTGTTGGAGATTTCCTATTCTGGAAAGGCACATCGGAACAGCCAGGTCTTCAAGTTCTTTCTAAAGACTGCCAATGTAGGGGCCTGTCTAAGATCTTTGGGGAGGGTGTTCCAGAGTCGGGGGGCCACCACAGAAAAGGCCCTGTCTCGCGTCCCCACCAGATGCGCCTGCGATGCAGGCGGAATCGCAAGCAGGGCCTCTCCAGATGAACGAAGTGAGCGTGTGGGTTCATAAACGGAGATGCGGTCATGCAAATAAGATGGTCCCAAACCGTTTAGGGCTTTGTAGGTAAGCACCTGCACCTTAAATTGGGCTCGGAAAATAAACGGCAGCCAGTGGAGCTCCTTGAACAGGAGGGTTGACCTCTCTCTGTAAGGAGCACCAGTTAACATCCTGGCCGCTGCCCGTTGGACCAGTTGGAATTTCCGAGCCGTTTTCAAGGGCAGCCCCACTGTAGAGCGCATTACAGTAGTCCAATCTAGAGGTGACCAAGGCATGGACCACCCCGGCCAGATCAGCCTTTGCGAGGTACGGTCGCAGTTGGCGCACGAGTCTCAGTTGTGCAAAATCCCTCCTGGACACCGCCGACGCCTGAGCCTCAAGCGTAAGTGATGAATCCAAGAGGACTCCCAAACTGCGGACCTGTGGCTTCAGGGGGAGTGTAACCCCGTCCATCATGCTCTCTAACTGAAGCACACATGTAAATTGATCATTCAGGGACTGAATTCTAGATTTCTTTTATTTACTACGGAACAAAAATCAAATTACAATTCTCCATTTTCCCCAAAAACACTGACATTAATAAAAAAGAATTATGGGAGTCTAGCAAGAGCAGTGGGGGTGGTGCTTCTGCAGTCAACATTCTTGTAAGCCACTCCGAGCCCCAGGGGAGTGGCGGCATATAAGTTCAAAATAATAAATAAATAAATAAAAACATGTGCTGTGATGTACTGCATTTTGGTTTTTGTTATTTTTAAATGTTGTATTTCTCTACACTAGGAAAGGGAATTATTCAGATTCTGTTCAACTATAACTCCTACCAGGAGTAACCAGCATCTCCAATGTGAAATGCAGCCCAACAACAACTGTAATTCCTATCCCTGGTATCTCATCAAAATCTCAATTGAAGGAAAAATTATAAAATTTTGTTTTTTTGTTTTTTCTTCCCCTTGATTGAAATTTCTCTTTCAAATGTCCATTCTCAAATGTATTCAACCATGGATGCTTAAATGTACATTTACAAACAAATCTGTTGTCCTCCAGGGTAATGCAACAAATTAAAAGAATAATGCAGATCTATACTTTTGACAAACTTAACTAAATGGAATGTTTATCCCGTCCCCGTGTGGCCACTGTTTATAGAGGTAGTGGGCAATAGAGGTAGTGGACAGTTTATAGAGGTAGTGGACAGCGGTAATTGACGCAAGTTCGCAGCTTGGGTGTGATCCTGGACTCATCTCTGAGCCTGGAACCTCAGGTCTCAGTGGTGACCAGGGGAGCATTTGCACAGTTAAAACTTGTGCGCTAGCTGCGCCCGTACCTTGGGAAGTCTGACTTGGTCACGGTAGTCCACGCTCTGGTTACATCCCGTATAGACTACTGCAACGCTCTCTACATGGGGTTGCCTTTGAAGACAGTCCGGAAGCTTCAACTAGTCTAACGAACGGCAACCAGGTTGTTAACAGGAGCGGCGCTCAGGGAGCATACAACCCCCTTGTTGAGCCAGCTCCACTGGCTCCACTGGCCCAATTCAAAGTGCTGGCTTTGGCCTATTAAGCCCTAAACGGTTCTGGCCCAACTTACCTGTCCGAACGTATCTCCCCTTACGAACCACTGAGGACTTTAAGATCATCTGGGGAGGCCCTGCTTTCGGTCCCGCCTTCGTCACAAGCACATTTGGCGGGGACGAGAGACAGGTCTTTCTCAGTGGTGGCACCTACTCTATGGAATGCCCTTCCTAGGGAGATCAGATCTGCTCCCTCCCTCTTGACGTTTTGGAGGCAAGTTAAAACGTGGCTATTCGAGCAAGCGTTTACAAATACAGAGTAGCTAATATAGGAAATCGAATGACCTGACAATGGAATTGGACAATGCTTGAGAATAATGAGACGCTGATGATGTTGCTTTTATTGCTTTTGTGATGTCTTATACTGTTTAATGTTTTTTATCTATTATGTTTTATGTATACTGATTTGTTGGAAACGCCTTGAGTCGCCAATTGGCTGAGAAAGGCGGTATACAAATACAGTAAATAAATAAATAAATAATTGGAAAGAAAACTTAGGATATCTGCGACACTGGATTTACCCTGACTTGGATTTAGTTTTAATTGGCATGTTTAATTTATTGTTTAATAAATTGTATAATGTGCTTTTAATGACTGTTAATGTTTTAAATGTAATTTTTGATTGTTTATATGTTGATAGCATCATATGATGCTTGTGTGAGGCCACCCTGAATCCCCCTTCGGGAGGAGAAGGGCAGGACAGAAATGCAGAATAAATAAATAAATAAATAAATAAATGTGTAGTCTATGTGACCCACTAATTTTTGCAACTCTAGACATCTAGACATCAGTGTATCTGTCCGAACGGATCTCCCTCTACGTCCCACCTTGGAGTCTTCTGGGGAGGCCCTGCTCTTGACCCCACCTCTATCACAAGTGAGGCTAGCGGGGACGAGGAGCAGGGCCTTCTCGGTAGTGGCCCCTCACCTGTGGAACTCACTCCCCGGGGAGATTAGATCAGCGACTTCCCTTTTGTCATTCAGAAAAAAATTGAAGACCTGGATGTGGGACCAGGCTTTTGGACATTCTGGCAGCTAAAGGAAAGACCTTGATGATGGGCAGGAATTGACGGAATGGAATGGATTTATGGAACTCTGAACACTGACCATGAGATTGTTTACTATTGTGTTATGTACTGATGTTTTTAACCTGTTAACTGTTTAATTGCTTTTATGTATGTATGTATTTTTGACATAGGCATCGAATTGTGCCTTCCTTTGTAAGCCGCCCTGAGTCCCCTCTTGGGGGTGAGAAGGGCGGGGTATAAGTAACTGAAATAAATAAATAAATAAATAAATAAATAAATAAATAGCTGCTACAAACAGCATGTACCAAAATAATCCCCCAGTACTTTGGAGGAGTACTCCCTTGTCCTATAATGGACGGCTGGTTCTATGTTTTGTGGAGAGGGGTTCTACCCATATTGGGACACGTGGCCCTGGGGCTTCCAAACTGATATACAGTGTGATCAATGCCCTTTGTTTGTCTAATTGTGTGACATGAAGAAGTGCTTCTTTTTCTCTATTCTGCTATGCCTGCATCTTTTTATACAATAAGTAGGAATTCTTTGTTTTAATAAAACTTACATATAATGTTACACCCCGTTCACCTTTTAGGCCTTTCCGTCCATTTAGCCCAGGACGTCCCTGGAGAAAGAGACACGTACAAATGCTTTAGTACCTATTTTAAAATAATAGGAAAAATATTAATCCCCTGCTCCAAAAGATGTACATACAGGCCGTCCAGGAAAGCCGAGTTCTCCTTTTGGTCCTGGATTTCCAGGTGGCCCCTAAAGACAAAAAAGATTATGATGAATGGAGGAAAAGAAAAGAAAAACATTAAAAATGACAAATATGCTTGAGTTGCATATACATATTAAGGTTTCTATTGTGAAGTTGCCCTTTGGGATTTCATGAGCTGGGAGCAGGAGACTGTTTCTTTGATTCGATACCCTCTGATCCAGGCCCGTAGCCAGGATTTCATTTCGGGGGGGGGGGGGCTGATTTTTTTCAGGGGGGGGGGGAGGGCTGAGTTTGGTTGGGGGGGGGGCTGAGTCTGAGTGAAAGAGGGTCTAGCCTAGCAAACCTTTTGTATCATTACCCCAATACCCCCATGCATATGGGATATATTGAGTATGATGATCAGATCATGATATGAATAAACATAACAGTTTAAATAATGCACCAGTAAGGCCTTTTCGCGAACCACCATGAGAATTTAGGGGGGGGCTGAAGCCCCACCCCCCTCGACCCCCCCCCCCCCCCGGCTACATGCCTGCTCTGATCAATTCTCTTCCACAGAAAAAGTTAAGGAGAAAAAGACAACAAAGTAGTGCAATGTCCCTTTAGCAGTACTGTATTTCTTCAATTCTAAGACCCATTTTTTCCCTAGAGAAACATCTCTAAAAATGTGGTGCATCTTAAAATTGCAGGTGTGATCTTAGGTATTTTTGTTCATGGTGGTTGTACTGAAATTAGGGTACATATTATAATACATGGTGTCTTACAATTGAAGAAAGGTACCAGTTTTCAGAGTTTTAAATCAAGAAAGAGCAGACAAAAGAATCTGGAAACAATTAATGAGAAAAAAAGAGTGTGGGTCCCACGATGTAGAAAAGAACATTTATTCACTGAAAAAACTGGATGCATTTTGGTTAGTAAATTATATTTTGGATTTCTTTAAAGGATGCTATAAAGAAAAAAGAGACATTGTTAAAGGAACAAAAAATGGATTCATAAGACAATAGTGATATAAACCTTCATTTATTGCACTCCCACATTCAAGAAAGTTTTCTTTCCATACTTTTTGAGAAATAAATCCCTCTGAATCTAAAAAAGATTAAAATACACAAAATATCATGCTGCCTTCAGTTATTTTCCAAATTTGGAGAATTTTTGTTGGTCGAAAATAATTTGTGCAAAAAGTTGGGATTTTGTACAAACACAGCATTTTTGTGTAACAAGGTTATCTCAAAAACAGAAGCCAACAAGTTCCTAATATTTGATTGTATTCATTTTCTCAATAAATAAAAAAATGTATGAGTATTCTTCATATAATTCTAAGATACCAAGATAAAGATATATAAATCCATTCCATGAGCTGGAAAGTCTCCAAAAGTGGATGACTAAAATGATCAAAGGCCCCAGAGTTGAGTATGTGTAGCCAGCAGAAGAGAAGGTTGTGAGAAGACATGATAGTTATGCATAAATATGTGAAAGGGCCATAAGGAAGAGGGAGCAGACTTGTTTTCTACTGGAAACTTGGACTCTGAGCAAGGATTCAAGTTGCAGGAAAAGAGATTCCACATGAACATTTGGAAGAATTTCCTGACTGTAAGAGCTGTGGAGCTCTCTGCGTTTGGAGTGTGATGGAGGCTTAGATGGCCATCCTTTGGTTGTGCTTTTGCTGCATAGCAGCAGGTTGGACTGCATGATGCATGCCGTCTCTGTCAACTTTATGATTCTATGATTTACAGTTGTCATATACATACTGGTGGATTAACAATGCATACCCCCATGCATATGGGATATATTGAGCATGGTGACCAGATCATGATATGAATAAACATAACAGTTTAAATAATATACCAGTAAGGCCTTCTCGCGGACCACCCTGAGAATTTCTGGGGGGGGGGCTGAAGCCCCTCAAGCCCCCCCCCCTCCAGCTACGGGCCTGCCTACAGAGATATCTAAATGTTAGTAATTGGGAACTTATTATGGGAGGCAGCAGAATATATAATCCATCACACATATCTTACTGTCGAGTAGGATGTGTTTTCAGCACTTTACTGACTCTTCTTAAAAGACAGCAACTCAATAAATCTAAGGAGCGTGTGTGTACTAATAAAGAACAATTTTTTTTGTGTGTTTTGTTTTGTTCAAGCTCTACTGGATACATAAGGAAGAAGAAATGAGGCACTCTTCTGTTTCATCATTTTATGAAACATCTAATGTTCTTTGAAAGGTTATTAATTGGGCAACAACAGTTTATACAAACAACAACAAAAATCTGTTGAAAGAAATAAATGGGCTTTATATTAAGATTAGCCCCTAAAGATCTGAATAAATAATTAGTGCTTCTGAATAAATAATTAGCGCCTGTACCTCGGGAAGTCTGATCTGGCCACGGTGGTCCATGCTCTTGTTACATCCCGAATAGACTACTGCAACGGGCTCTACGTGGGGTTGCCCTTGAAGACTGTTCGGAAACTTCAACTAGTCCAGCGAGCGGCAGCCAGACTGCTCACCGGAGCGACATACAGGGAGCATACCACCCCCCTGCTGTGCCAGCTCCACTGGCTGCCGATTCAGTTCCGAGCACAATTCAAGGTGCTGGTTTTGACCTACAAAACCCTGTACGGTTCCGGTCCAGTGTATCTGTCCAAACGTATCTCCCTCTACGTCCCACCCCGGAGTCTGAGATCATCTGGGGAGGCCCTGCTCTCGACCCCACCACTGTCACAAGTGAGGCTGGTGGGGACGAGGAGCAGGGCTTTCTCAGTGGTGGCCCCTCACCTGTGGAACTCACTCCCGGGGGAAATCAGGGCATCATCATCCCTCCTCGCCTTTAGGAGGAGGGTGAAGACGTGGTTATGGGACCAGGCCTTTGGGCACTCTGGCAATTAAATCAGACAATCAGGCAAGTAAGACCATCAGGATTGATGAAGTGGAACGTAAAACTAGATCTATGAGTTAGCGAACGCTGCCCATGTAAGAGGAGAAATTGGGTTTGTATTGGTTTTTATTGATTTTATTGATTTTATGGTTATAATGAATGAACTGTTGTTAACTGTGAATTGATGTAATTTTGTGTATGATTGTTTTATGATGCAGGCATCGAATTGTGCCTTTGCCTTTGTAAGCCGCACTGAGTCCCCTTCGGGGTGAGAAGGGCGGGGTAAAAGAACCCCAAATAAATAAATAATAATAAATAATAATAAATAATAATTCTTTAATTTTTATTGACATTGGAACTTATAAAAAGAGTTTCTGTGATTTATATACATTTCCTATGTCCTTTCAGTTATTATATTATACGAAGGGTGTTTTTTAAGTAAGGTCCGTTTTGTTGTAGACACTAGTAGTTCGCGCGCATACCGCGATGAGCACGTGCGTCATGTACCGGCATGCCTCGGGAACAACTGTGCTCAGTTTCCGCTCTGTAGCTAACCTGTACGGTTCTGTTCTGTGCTTTAAAAATGTTTAAGACTATCAACTCACCCACCGCATGTGAGGTTCGCTCAGTGACATGGTTTTTGTCAGCAAGGAACCTGCCTGCTACAGAAATTCATCGACAGATTTGTGAAGTGTACGGTGATACTGTTATGAGTGAAAGCAAAGTGCGTAAGTGGGTACGACAATTCAAAGATGGCCGTGACAACGTCCATGATGAGGACCGCTCCGTTCGCCCTTCTTTGATTACAGTGAACTCTTGGTTATTGGTGCAGGCGGCAAGTTTTTATGAAGAGGGTATTTTAAAATTGGTTCAGAGGTATGATAACTATGTCGAAAAATAGAGTGAAGTATGATACTTTCTGAAAATAAATTTACTTTTTTGAAATAAACTTTCGTTGTGCACTTATGTTCCAACGGACCTTACTTAAAAAATACCCCTCGTATTATTGCCTGTCAAAGTAAAATGGGGGAATTATACACACACACAGAGCACTTTCTTTGAACAAAGCATCAGCTGCCGCTTGATCAAAAGAGTCAGTAGCTGGAAAGACTATCCAAGCAATGCTCTTGGTGTCCACCTATCAATGTGAATCAGGCTTTTAAGCTTATGCTTACACCAAAAATAAATTTAGGCATACACTGTATGCCACCTTGGAGTTACACATTCATCTGTCAGACATAATCCCTATTTCAAAATTATTTTAGGTGCAAAAATGACACAATTTCATTTTTGCAATATTTAAAATATTTTCTCTTTATTTCCAAATGTAGTACATTGTACAAAATGCCCAGACAATAGTAGATTAAAGAAGGAACTTTGTGGATTCATCATGCATTACTTAGAGAAAGAGTTAGGGTTCCATGGGGAAATCAGGGAAAGAGTTAGTGTTTCATGGGAGGAAAGTCTTCAGAAGGGTTCCATGACCAAAACAAATTGGGAACCACTGCTCCAGAAGACTAAAATCCATTTGATCTTGGAAGTTAAACAAAATTGCCTCTGGTTAGTACTTGGATGGGAGATATGCAAATGTTTCCTTCCATCTTTCATTCCCTCTATTAATATTTGCTGTCTGTTAAAATATTTTAATGTTTCTCACCTATACTTTTTTTTTCATGTCAGGAGTGACTTGAGAGACTGCAAGTAGCTTCTGGTGTGAGAGAATTGGCCATCTGCAAGGACACTGCTCAGGATGTTTTGATGTTTTACCATCCTTGTGGGAAGCTTCTCTCATGTCCACCGTACCTTAGGGACCACCTCTCCTCCCATCATCGGAAGTCACAACTACCAGACTTACTCTATATACCGGGTCCTAGAGAAGTGTACTTGGAAAGGACCAGACACAGGGCTTTTTCTATTTCTGCCCCTGCCTTATGGGATTCCTTGCCACCCTATATGAGAGCCATGCGAGACTTAGGGCCTTTTACTCTAGCACTTAAGACCTGGCTTTTTACTAGAGCATTCGATCCCTGTTAATTTTTAATTTCTATATGTATGTATCTTTTACAATTTAGCTGTAAATTGCCTAGAGCATTCTCGGATGGAGGGCGATTAATAAGTAATTAAATATGATGATGATGATGATGTTCCCACATGAGGAGCTGGAGGTGACACAGAGAACTCATCCGAGCTCTCCCCTGACTTGAACCTCTGATCCATTGGTCTTCAATACTGCTAGCATGAGGGTTTAACCCATTGAGCCATCATAGAATCATAGAATCATAGAATCAAAGAGTTGGAAGAGACCTCATGGGCCATCCAGTCCAACCCCCTGCCAAGAAGCAGGAATATTGCATTCAAATCACCCCTGACAGATGGCCATCCAGCCTCTGTTTAAAAGCTTCCAAAGAAGGAGCCTCCACCACACTCCGGGGCAGAGAGTTCCACTGCTGAACGGCTCTCACAGTCAGGAAGTTCTTCCTCATGTTCAGATGGAATCTTCCTTCTTGTAGTTTGAAGCTATTGTTCCATGTCCTAGTCTCCAGGGAAGCAGAAAACAAGCTTGCTCCCTCCTCCCTGTGACTTCTGCTCACATATTTATACATGGCTATCATGTCTCCTCTCAGCCTTCTCTTCTTCAGGCTAAACATGCCCAGCTCCTTAAGCCACTCCTCATCAGGCTTACCTATACTGAAGAGTATAAAAAGGAGCATGCACTCTTTTTTTGAAAAATATATATATTCACCATTGGCCCTGGTGGTCCCAGTATTCCAGGTTCACCCTGTGAGAAAGAGGTTATATATCAGTGATTTCAGACAGCACTGTATCATCTGTGTGACAAGGTTAGCAAAAAAAAACAAAACAAAAAAAAAGTTTTTTATATAGGCAGTCCCCGAGTTACAAACATCCGACTAACAAACAACTCACAGTTAAGAATGGGGGTGAAATAACAGGAAATGAGATAAATCTACCCCTACGAAGGAAAATTGTTTCTACAACAAGCCATATTTATTTACCATATTTATTTATTTGTTTAGTTATTTATTATTTACAGCTTTTATATTTCGCCCTTCTCACCCCGCAGGGGACACAGTGTACACATATATGGCAAACATTCAATGCCAATTTTGACCTACAACATATACAGACATAGACAGAGGCTATTTAACTTTTTCTGGCCGCCAGGGGAGCTGTCACTTTCATCGTCCATCTGCGACACTGATGAAGTACTTCCGCATTCCCCGCATGCTTTTGCTGAAGTCTTTTTTTATGGCCTCATAAATTAGTTAATTTAAGTCTCCCCACACTTTAAGGTGGTACCTAATTTTCCTACTTGACAGATGCAACTGTCTTTTGGGTTGCAAAGGTCGACAACAGGCTACACAATTGGTTGGAAACTCACTCTAACCTGGGCTGGCTTCGAACTCATGACCTTTCGGTCAGAGTGATCTTAATGCAGCTGACACTCAGCCAGCTGCGCCACACTCCCAGTGGATATATACCGCCTCTCTCAACCCGAAGGTGACTCGAGGCGGTTTACAGTCGGCAATCAATGCCCCCAACAACATAGTTAAAAACATTAAGATATAATACAGCTCATATAAAAGCAGTAAAACAATAAAAACCATAAAACACAAATCCTCAGCGTCTCATCACTAAAATCATTTTCGTCCAATTGTTCTGTGGATCTCAATTAATCTGTTACACTGCATCTGCAAATGCCTGCTCAAAAAGGCATTTCAAAACATTAGGAGGGAGGGGGCCAATCTGATATCCTTAGGGAGGGCATGATGATGATCACAGAGACAAAAAGAGAGGTTTTTTTTCTATGTCAGGAACGACTTGAGAAACTGCAAGTCGCTTCTGGTGTGAGAGAACTGGCTGTCTGAGGGGACACCCGGGTATTTTGATGTTTTACCATCCTTGTGGGAAGCTTCCCTCATGTCCCCGCATGGGGAGCTGGAGCTGACAGAGGGAGCTCAACCATGCTCTCCCCGGATTTGAACCTGTGACCTGTTGATCTGCAGTCCTGCTGGCACAAGGGTTTAACCCACTGTGCCACCAGCGGTTGGTAAAGTGAAATCTGACCTGGGGCACAGACAGAAAAACAAAAACAACCCCCCCCCCCCCAAACAGGGGTATTAACCCTTCCCTATGCTATACAAAGCATACACACACACAAATATAATGGAGTTCTACTTAAAAATGTACTTTTCCAACTCACAAACAAATTCAGCTTATGAACAAACCTAAGGAACGTATCTTGTTCATAACTTGGGGACTGCTGTATACATAATAGAAATAATCAATGAATATTACCTTTTCTCCCGGTCTTCTTATCACTTCTGTTAATGAGTCAGCTGAAGCAAAGATAGCTCCCGGCTCACCCTTTTCTCCCTATAAAAGCACACAAGGATTAGTTTGTTTGTTTAAATCAGGGGTCCTCAAACTATGGCCCGCGGGCCACTTCCGGCCCACCAAGGGCACTTATCTGGCCCGCGGAGAAGGAGCATCCTCCCACACAGTGCGCCTCCCTTGGCTGGCTCATGCTCACAAGGTGCTTTATGTGTGAGTAGGCCGCGTGGGGCTGCTCCTCCCTTGGCAGGCTCACGCTGCCCATCAAGCCCGATGGGCAGCGTGAGCCAGCCAAGGGAGGCTGCCCCGGCGCTCCATGCAGTCATGCCGGCCACATGACCTTGGAGATGTCTACGGACAATGCCGGCTCTTCGACTTAGAAATGCAGATGAGCACCACACCCCAGAGTCAGACACGACTGGACTTCATGCCTGAGGAAAACCTTTAACTAGGAAAATTGTGGAAGATCCAGGGTGGGAGAAAGAACTCTTGTCTGTTGGAGGTAGGTATGAATGTTTCAATTGGCCACCTTGATTACCATTTCATAGCCTGACAGTTTTTAGGGAGAATCCTTTGTTGAGAGGTGATTAGCTGGCCCTGATTGTTTCTTGTCTGGAGTTCCCTGTGTTTGAGTGTTGTTCTTTATTTACAGTTATAATTTTAGAGTTTTAGTTTTTTTAATACTGATAGCCAGATTTTGTTCAGACTAGAAATAGGAAGATTTCCCATTCTCTGCTCCTGGAATTACTGCCTAAAGAGGGCTAGAAAGAACCCCCTCTAAGGGCCCTTCCACACAGCAAAATAAGATATGTGCAATGTGCATAGGATTTTTTTATTGATTTTTTTTTAAAAAAAAACTATAATCCGGTCCTCCAACGGTCTGAGGGACAGTGAACTGGCCCCCGGTTTAAAAAGTTTGAGGACCCCTGGTTTAAATGGTTCAATCTGGCCTGAAATAGTGCCTTCTGAAGGAAAAGAAATGGACCATCCATTCTTCTTGGGTTCCCCTTCTCTTTAGCTTGCGGTACCACAATGCATAGCAGAGCAGGCAGTTTTTTCATCTACACAAATCTGATTGGATTATTTTAGTACATACAGTAAATCTGTGTGTGTGTGTGTATTTGAAATGCATTTGAAATGAACTAAAAAAGAGAAAGTAATACAAAGCTTATTACAATATGATTTTCAAAACAATATCCTATGTTTAAACAGAATGCATTACAGTGTTCCTTCGTTACTTCGCGGTTCACTTTCCACGGACTCGCTGTTTCGCAGAGTTTTTTTTAATGAATTTAAAATATACAAGTACAGTAGCGAGGGAACATTGAGTAGAAAGGCCTCGCCAATGCACTCTGGATGCAGATCTGGTGGCAGCAGTGGCGGTGCAGGTTCAGCCCTCCTTGTCCTCTTTACCTTCCTCCTCCTCAGCGCCTCCCTTCCCACCGATTGAGTGAGTGAGTGAGTGAATAAACAGAACTGTTGGTATAGGGTGGCAGATAACCCACAAGAGCTGCACCAACAGCCTCTCCACAGCCCGATTATGATGTGTTCTATCACAGGTCGGAATCATCTTTTTGAAGAGGAGGACAGCGACGTCTCCATGTCACACCACAATGTTAAATGACTTTGTCCATCCCAATATGATAAGACATGGACTTCCTGCAGGAATACGGTTTCAACAGGATGGTGCAACAAAGCATAAATTGAGACCATTGATGTCCGTGGTGAAATGCATGTCCCCTCCTCCGTGTGATCTCCGGATTCAGCGATATTGCATGGCTCTCACACTCTCCTGATTTATCAGTTTGTGATTCCTTCTTATAGGGATATCTGAAAGCCAGAGTGTATGCAAGAAAACCACACACAGTAGAGGACTTAAAAATGCCATTCGTGAAGAAATTGTGGCTCTGCCGGTGCAAATGTTAGTGAATGCAATTGATAACTTTGGACAGGAGCTCCAAATGTGTGTACAGAATGGCAGACATCTTCATATTGTCTTCAGTTCATAATGGTTAGTGTTCCTGTGTTTAAGTGGATGAATGTACCTTCCTTTTTCTGTATGTATGTATGTATGTATGTATGTATGTATCAGGGCCGTAGCCAGAAAAAAATTTCGGGGAGGGTTGACAATTTTGGGGGGGGGGTGAAAATTTGGGGGGGGGGGTGAAAATTTCGGGGAGGGTTGAAAATTTGGGGGGGGGGGGTTGAAACCTGCCTCCTAGCTCACGCTGAAGCAAAGAGCACAGCAGGGGGCAGAGCAGCCTTCAATAGCCTGCAGCTCCGTCCCTGTCAACCACCTCCACCAAGTCTGGCCTCCTTAATGAGAGCATTCAACACACACACACCCAACTTGGTTGCTTCACTACATCGGCTATTGCTGCAAGTAATGACAGTGTGAATAAATTGTCAATATTTGCTTGAGATAGTGCTTACAGTTCTGGAGGAACTCTTAATTTTTTGCATCTCATAGACTTAGCATGGGGATTTGGTTAACCAGTTAAAATTCATGAGTAAACCAGGTTTTTTAAAAAAAATCTGAAACATTTCGGGGGGGGGTTGAACCCCTAAAACCACCCCCTCGCTACAGGCCTGTAGATTATTGTAACGGATTGTTGCTCTGTATGTATGTATGTGTTCTGTCGCGTGCTGGGCCTGTAAATAATTGTCTTTAAAACAGGACATGCAACCTTTGCCCAACGGGAAGCCAGGGGGCCTAAAGAGAAGTTCTCTGAGGTTTCCACCACAAACAGTCTTTAGATGGCTTGAGAAGTACAACAAAGTCTTTTATTAATGAACAATCAAACAGAAACTTCTCTTGTCTTCAGTAAAGTTAAGTAAATGATTCCAAGCTTTTGGGCAACTGGTGAATTCCTAAACTTGCCCACGAAGGACAGGCAACTATCTTCAATAACTTCTTCTTTAAAGGAAAATCCCCTTTTTAACTTCTCCCAGGCTGACTGAAACTTAAACCTAACTGATGTGGGCACCACTACCGGGTTGAACTGCGTCTCAAAGCACCGAGTGGACCTACCAGCAAGGCCTGTAGTCTTTTCAGCTGGAGTTCTTTGATCTTTAGGGCTGTTTCCCTGGAAAGTCTTTGGAGACTCTTTTCCTTCTGTTTCTGTTGGAATTTCTGTAACCCTGGAAATTCTTAAAGGTTGAAGCTTTTGTACAGGGGAAGCTTTACACACGTCCTGTACATAGCTTTCCTTGCTGAGACTAACTAAAAATGGCTCCCTTCCCTTCCCAATTGCCCTGAGCAAGAGGTGGGACCAAAACTTAATGATGATGGACAGGTGGCTTGCCCTATAACTGCAACCAAAGAAGCCACCTATCTGCAGAGTCCCTGAAACTTAGGACTGCAAACAAACATTCAATGCAAAGCAAACAAAATTGGAGCTCCTAGTACAGCTGTACCAGAACAGTATGTATGTATGTATGTATGTATGTATGTATGTATGTATGTATGATGTATCTTGCTAATACACTAAGTTATGCATATTTCAGAACCATGTATTTCCTCTGCCCCACTCTGTACATACAAGACAAGCTCTCGTATGCTTGTAATTTCTCCAGATCTGACTAACGTCCCAACATTCATTCTGATTTCTGTTTGCCAACCACCTGCTTCCTTCTTACCTGTTTTCCTTTCTGACCTGGTAAACCCGCTAACCCAGTGTCTCCTTTGGGTCCTCTGGGGCCCTGGAACAAGACAGATATTCCGTAAACAATAATATTACAGTTAATAAACTTACCCATGTTGCAAAATTTAATTCAAATCTGAAAATGTAGGGCAAACTAGATATGGCAGCAGAGATCAGAACTGTGTCTTTTGCCAAATGTTTATGTTGAACAGCTGATGAAATGATTAGAAGCAGTGCTTTTCTGATGTAGAGGACCAACATTTTTATTGTTTCAGCATCTGGTACCATAGCTATGCCCATTGGCTACAACTGTTTCTTTCTTGGAAACTACACATAGAGAGTCAGCCAGTAGCTTATGGACCAGAACCAGTCCAGGGACGGTCACCTGCCCATTTCATATAGCACGGGCAGGTGAGGACTGAATTCTTTCTCCCCAAGTTTCCACTTCCAAATATTTTGGTATTTTTGCAGTTGACTATGTTGTAAATAGATCATCACTAGCAATGTTGTAAATGTTGCTGCTCTGTTCATTTATGGAAAGTAATAGGAATGTCTACAATAGTATGGACTTACATTTTCACAATTTATGGTGCAATTCTTCAAATTTAACTAGAAGAGTATAGGGAAAAATAGACTGCAGCAGCTCCCATATAACTTATTGATACACTGATATCCTAAAAGTGCTGCAGTATTTTCTCTCATTTTACTCAAATGCATATTACGTATTTTCTAATTAAGTTTTAATCTTTTAGCCTCTTTGTCTTGTAGTTGCTCAATTATTTGGGAGTGGGTCGACAGGCCAGTAGGCCATGATGCCTTGTGTTCATATGTGGTTTTACTGTATGTGTATGTTTTGTATGTTTTGCATGTTTTGATATGGTCAAAATTGACTAATCAATAAAGAATTGTTGTTTTGTTCTATTTTCTAATTTAATTTGGGGGTGTTGGTTTTATATCCCCTGACAGTAAGTTAAACATTACATATACATTTTGGATCATACCAAATGACAAAATATTCATAGGACTGTTTATATATGTATTATTATTATGCTTATATACTCCGATTTTTCTCTCCACAAGGAGACTCAAAGTCGCTATGTACTGTCTCAGAAACTTAGAACTCAGTGCTTACAGGAAATCCTGGCAGGCCCGGCTTACCATCTGGACCCTAGAAAATGCAAGAACAAAACACATGAGGACATCTCACCCTGGTTAAACGGAGCATGTAGTGTCTGGGTTATCTGCTATTTGTGAACATCAGATAACTTCTTAATGTGGAATTAATCGACATCTCTCTCACTATTGGGCTACTGTAATACATACATAATCCTATTGGTGTAGCTGATTATGTAGGTCATTATCAGGCATACACTGTTTAGCCAAATTCAAGAATAGTGATTGGGTTGCAATAATATTGATGATTGGCCATGTCCAGGTCAATATTATGGCCAATCATCAATATTATTGCAACCCAATCACTATTCTTGAATTTGGCTAAACAGTGTATGCCTGATAATGACCTACATAATCAGCTACACCAATAGGATTATATACCATGAAAAATTTCAGCAGTGCCGAACTCACTGAAAAATAATTCCTATGCCATTGTTGCATACCTGATGAAGAGGGCCACCATTTAATTCTGCTCATTGGTTACAATTGTTTCTCTCCTAGAAATTCAATGGGATCTGGCAGCCAATAGCTTATTGGCCACTTCCAGTCCTGGGCCACCAGTCATAGGGCCCATACAGATAGGCCCATATCCTGGGACCTATCCAAATGACGCCCCGGTAAAAATGAATTGATTTGGAATAACTGAATTAATTAAATACCCCATTAGATCTGGGCCTTCCTGAAAGCCCTGGGTCTAATGGTGTATTGGGCATGTGGGGATTCACCCCCGGGTAGTTCACAGACCAACTGGAACTCACCTTTAAGGCCTTGCATGGTCTGGGGCCGATGTACCTGAGGGACCGCCTCACCCCCTACCAACCCCAGAGATCCCTCCATTCTGAGGACCAAGATCTATTGGAAATTCCCAGTGTCAAGACCTTGCGTCTAACAGCAACCAGATGCAGAGCCTTTACAGCAGTGGCACCATCACTTGGAATACTCTGCCACCTGAAGTCCGTGCCTTGCGGGATTTATCAGCTTTCTGCAGGGCATGTAAGGCATATCTATTTCGACAGGCCTTTGATTTCTGATTGTTTTTAAATTGTTTTAAATTGTTTTTAAATTGTGTTCGATTTTAGCCTGTTCTTGTAAGCCGCTCCGAGCCCCAGGGGAGTGGCGGCATATAAGTTTGAATTATAAATAAATAAAATAATAAACTACCCAGAGGTGATTCTTCACAACCATTTTGCACCTTTTGGGTTCCTGGAGCCCAAAGGTGTGGGATGGCACTCCCCCCCTCCCCACAAGCCCCTTAAAGCAACACTTAAAATTTTAAAAAACTTACCCAGCCACCTTACATTCTTCTGGCACATAGAAATGACATGCCAGAAGATCGGACGGGGGGAGGGGGGGAAGCAATTTTTCTCTTCACTCCTGTCTATGCGCCAGGAGGATGCAAGGACCACCTTAATAGCAGCCAGGTAAGTTTTTTTAAAATTTTAAGTGTTGTTTTGGGGGGCTTTGGGGAGATTGCATGACATCCTGGTAGTTACTGGGATGGCATGCAAACACCTCCCCACCTCCCAGGAAAGCCCGGGTTTTGGGGTGGGGTGGGGACAGAAATGCACACTAAAGTGGGTTTTACTTGCCTGTCTGGAACCAGGGGCGGCTCAACCCATTATGCAAAGTAAGCATTTGCAGTATAGTTGATTTTGCCCAGGGGCACTCTTGAGGCACTCTTGGGGGAAAATAGACCTTGACATATGTGAGTTGTAGTTACTGGGATGTATAGTTCACCTACAATCAAAGAGCATTCTGAACTCCACCAATGATGGAATTGAACCAAATATGGCACACAGAACTCCCACGACGAACAGAAAATATATATCAGTGATTGGTTGGGGGGGGGGGGCAAAATACTGTTTGCTTACCATTGAAAATCACCTAGGGCCGCCTCTGTCTGGAAGTAACCTGAGTAGCACTGATTTAAGGGACATTCTAGTTCAGCAAAGTCTGTCTCTCAGGCTGCATCTACATTGCCCTATAATCTCAGGCTGCATCTACACTGCCCTATAATTCAGTTTCAGAATGTGGATTAACTGCATTGATCTGGATTATAGGGCAGTGTAGACTAATATAATCCAGTACAATGCAATTAACCCACATTCTGAAACTGTATTATAGGGCAGTGGAGATCCAACCTCTCTTTCTCTCAGCATCAATCATATATGGCCATGTAATGGAATTGCCATTCATCCTTGCCTCTACTTTCACCCTCCCATATTTATCTATGTCAGTCAATGTAAAACGAACAAATGACTATATAAATACTGTATGTACACACCACAGTAACAAGACTTAAGTGCAAAAATAATCAGAAAATGCAGAACAATTTTAAAGAACAATTAACTCAATTTAATAATGATAGAAGTTTGATTATCAAAGAGTAGAGTGGGAAGCAACAGTAAAGAAAGAAGGAGAACAGTCCGTTGCGTGTGCAAGTGCAATACATCTCCCACAGCCAACCCAAGAAGTACACTCACACATGATGTGGGATGAACAATGGCCACAACTCATTTATTGATAACAGGAACAAGGGTTGGCAGCCAAGCATGGGTCCTGGATCATGATCGGGCAGCCCAATACTGCCCGATCCCGCACACATCAGGGTGCCACCGGCGCAATACCGGGCAAATGCAACTCGGCACCCCTGGGACCACCGGGCGTCCCCCCTAACCGCTAGGGGGGATACCAAACCAGATCCAGGGCCCATGCCCCACGCCAACAAGGAGTTGTGACAAGGAGCACAAAACAAACAAGTAACTGTCAACCAGAACCATGACAAGGTAAACACCAACAAAATTAACTGCCAATGAAAACATAAACCGCATGCAGGGTGGGTGGGATGGATCAGCTGTTGCAGGCCAAGTGCCTGCTGGGGAGCCTTGGGCAGCCTTTTGAAGGCTGTCCAGAAGGAGGGAGAGGTCAGCTCAGGCCTCACCCACGGTGGACGTGGTCAATTGGCCATTGGCCCATTGACCCGCCGGCGGGAATCCTTCCCGCCATCAGAGGGGGCTTCTGGGAGGAAGAAGCCCCCCTCAGGCAAGAATGGCGGTGGGGGACGCCCTGCACCGCAACTTCTTTGGCCCGGTAAGTCGGGCCATGCTTTTTATTATAAACACTTAAGTGAAAAGAGTCGTCTCTGGTTGCTTCTGAACACCCCAGCAAGTGAGAGTCCAAAAGTGGCAGGCCCAAACCCAGCACCTCAATTCATGGGTGATACCAGATGAGAGACTCCCCCCTGGGCTCTCAGAAGACTGGGCGACTTGGAAGGCGCTGAACAGACTGCGCTCTGGCACCACGAGATGCAGAGCTAATCTTAAGAAATGGGGCTACAGGGTGGAATCCTCGGCATGCGAGTGCGGAGAAGAACAAACCACTGACCACCTGCTGCAATGCACCCTGAGCCCTGCCACATGCACAATGGAGGACCTCCTTGCGGCAACCCCAGAGGCACTCCAAGTGGCCAGATACTGCTCAAAGGACATTTAACCAAATACCAAATTTGCAAAATCTGTGTGTTTTTTTTCCTTTTTCTTTTTAATCTGTGTGTTTGTTTTGCTCTGTTAGAATTGTAATACAATGGTTGCTGATGACACGATAAATAAATAAATAGTGAAAATTGAGGAATAAAGAGGCCACAATATTTATTGGCAGGAGTACAAAGTTTACTTTGGCACATCTAAGAAGAAAATATTGAAAGAAAGAGAACCAAAGCTTCAAAGACTTTCCTTTAAAATGCCATGAAATTATACAAATAAATCTGTAACGCATAACACTGCCGTTTCAGTGTAATACTCACTGACAGTTAATTGAAAAATCTTCCAGATTCTGAGAAACACAGTCTTTACAAAGCAGGCCAGATCTGATTTTGTACAACGACTGTGCAGAGACATAATGTCAAATGAGAAATCTTTAAAGAAGCTTCAGCTTATTACTCTGCCTTCTTCAAGGAGAAACAAGCAAGAACACTGTATCAGATATCACAATTACAAAAGATCAGGCAGAAGGTCTGTAGTAAGTGCTGATACCACTTATAATGGAGGGAATCGGGCAGCGTGTAGTATCACACTTCCCTATTCCCAGTAAGCTAAAATTCTGTAAATTATTCTAGTTTATTGATGCATCCAAAGTGTCCAATGTGTTACCATGACTACTAGACAGAATGAATTATTCGTTCTCCTGGTCATTTATTCTGCTTTCATTTGGGATGTCTTCACATATGAAAATTGCATCAGATTTTGTTACTTGAATTTATCAGTTTGAATCTTCAGAAATGTCGAAAATAAAAAACATTTCCTCTATATGTTGTGAATACATTATATAGGACAGCAATGTTTAGTTTACTAAGCTTCTGGATAAATCAACTACCTGTACTATCTTTCGGTGGTTAAATAATAAATGATCCAGCCATACACATAGATAGATATTAGGCTTGGTTGATCGTGTTCGTTAGTTTCTAAACTCGTTATGAATTCGTATTTAAATTAGCTTTCGATCCAATATCGAGCCATGCAGGAATAGTGTGAGGAGTAATTAAGAATCGAAACAATTTTTCCAATTTTCGTAATTATTTTCGTATGTATTATTATATTATATTATTATATTATATTATTATTGTATATTATATTATTATAATTGTATATTATTATATTATTATATTATTATTATATTATATGTTATAATTGTATGTTATTATATTATATTAATATAATTGTATATTAAAGCACCCCTGACAGATGGCCATCTATTCTTAATAATAATAATAATAATAATATAATATATAATAATAATAGTTTTAAGCTGCTGGGCCAGGAAGACGTTTAGCTGGGTTAAGACAAGCCGTTTTAAAGCGTTTTAAAGACTGGATTCCTGTAAGTGCTGACTCCATTCTGACTTCGGATTGTTTTTGGATGGACATCTCATTCTGACTTAATCTTCTGCTTTTGGACGTGCTATGGGCTTGGGACAGTTTTTTGATAATATAATAATATATAATATAATATAATATAATATAATATAATATAATATAATATAATATAGTTGTTGTTAGTTTTATCACACCAACAGTCAACAACAGAGGGAGAGGGAAACTTCAGAAGTTCCCCCTGTCCCGTTTGGAGGTTTTTTTCGCGTATTGCGCAATCGTGTCCGCCGTTAACGAATCAATTCGTATATTTACGAAATTTCGTAAATATCGAAATTTTAAAATTGGAAATTTCGGAAATCCTATCAGATTAGAAATGCGGGAGCCCCTTAATTACAAAACGAGTTTAGAACCCATTTTTTTTTCTTGATCAACCAAGCCTAATAGATATATATGATTCACACACACACACACTTAAAGTATTATAGATGTGAAAGGGACTCCTAAATATATGTTGCATGTTCCAGAGTAGGCAAACCAGACAATCTCTACGTCAACACTGTCAAAGAAACATCAAGAAATACTGTTTACCCACAAGCATAAAGACATTACATATATTAGAAACCAGCACTTTCTAATTACTTTATTTTCCATATCACCAGACTGGGCCACAGCAACGCGTGGCAGGGGACCGCTAGTAATGCATAAAATAAAGTTTCAGAGAGTTCTAATTGCTCTCCATCTCTGCTTCCCTTAAACCACCCAAGTGTCTGTTTGACAGCCCAATCAGCTGATCAGCTATTTCAGGCATTTAAAAAGCACACTTGTGTTGGAGCAGTCTACTCAGGGGGAGGGAAGGAAAGCACATGTTTTGCATGACTGCAGGAATATACGGACATGCAAAGGTGCACAATTTTGGGGCGCAATCAGGTTTTAAGTGCACCTTTTAAAAATATGTTTTTACCTCTTAACCTGATCCCTCACACACTTTGGCTTTTAACTTTTAACCCCGTTACGTCCAGGTTTTACAGCATGTGTAGAAGTGCCCACAGAGTATATCGTAGCTTTAGTGTGGTCTAAGATTTTGAGAAGAAACATTAACAACCTCAGATATGCAGATGACACCACTCTGATGGCCGAAAGGAGGAGCTGAGGAGCCTTCTAATCAAGGTGAAAGAAGAAAGCGCAAAAGCTGGGTTGCAGCTAAACATCAAAAAAACCAAGATTATGGCAACAAGAATGATTGACAACTGGAAAATAGAGGGAGAAAATGGAGGCCGTGACAGACTTTGTATTTCTAGGTGCAAAGATTACTGCAGATGCAGACTGTGGCCAGGAAATCAGAAGATGCTTACTTCTTGGGAGGAGACCAATGTCCAATCTCGATAAAATAGTAAAGAGTAGAGACATCACACTGGCAACAAAGATCCGCATAGTCAAAGCCATGGTATTCCCTGTAGTAACCTACGGATGTGAGAGCTGGACCTTAGGGAAGGCTGAGCGAAGGAAGATCGATGCTTTTGAGCTGTGGTGTTGGAGGTAAGTTCTGAGAGTGCCTTGGACTGCGAGAAGATCCAACCAGTCCATCCTCCAGGAAATAAAGCCCGACTGCTCACTGGAGGGAAGGATACTAGAGACAAAGTTGAGTACTTTGGCCACATCATGAGGAGACAGCAAAGCCTAGAGAAGAATTATGCTGGGGAAAGTGGAAGGCAAAAGGAAGAGGGGCCGACCAAGGGCAAGATGGATGGATGGCATCCTTGAAGTGACTGGACTGACCTTGAAGGAGCTGGGGTGGTGACGGCCGACAGGGAGCTCTGGTGTGGGCTGGTCCATGAGGTCACGAAGAGTCGGAGACGACTAAACGAATGAACAACAACAAAAGAAAGAAAATGATTGGAATCTCCACTCAATCATGAAACCCATTGGGTGACATTGAGCAAGTTACACTCTTTCAGCCTAAAAGGAAGGCAATGCTAAACTCTGAACAAATCTTTCCAAGAAAGCTTGAAGCCGCACTTAAGCAACACAAACAACAAACTCAGGAAGCAATTGTAATAAATCTCAACGAATTTGAAAGAAGTTAGTAGAATTAGTACATGAGGATCACAGAAAGTTAAATAAACAAAACATTATTTTATTTAAGACATACTCACTGGAGGCCCGACAAGTCCTTTGATTTCAGAAATGTTGAACGTTACGTCGGAAGCATTGAGCCAAGACTGGAAAGGATATAGAAAAATAAATTTGTTGTTTTTCTAGAATGCTTACACATTTCTAGAACTGCCCAGAAAGCATGATTAGTACTACTTACTATGAGAGCATCTCTTATCTGAAATAGTTGGGACCAGATGTGTTTAGGATATATATCTATATAAATAAAAATGTAATGTTCGTTGTGGTATTAACAGAACTCAAAAACCACTGGGGCAATTGGCACCAAATTTGGACACGATACACCTAACAAGCCAATGTATGTTCTCCACTCAAAAAAATTGATTTTGTCATTTGGGAATTGTAGTTGCTGGATTTATAGTTCACCTACAATCACAGAGCATTCTGAACCCCACCAACGATGGAATTGAACCAAACTTGGCACATAGAACTCCCAAGACCAACAGAAAATACTGGAAGGGTTTGGTGGGCAGTGTCCTTTGGTTTTGGAGTTGTAGTTCACCTACATCCAGAGATCACTGTGGACTCAAACAATTATGGATCTGGACCAAACTCTACATGAATACTCAATATGCCCAAATGTGAACACTGGTGGAGTTTGGGGAAAATAGAATCTTGACATTTGGGAGTTGTAGTTGCTGGGATTTATAGTTCACCTACAATCACAGAGCATTCTGAACCCCACCAACGATAGAATTGGGCCAACCCTCCCACACAGAACCCCCATGTGGGCCACAGCAACGCATGGCAGGGGACGGCTATATTATAATAAAATAAAAAATGTAATGTTCATTTATGGGATTAACATACTCAAAAATGGACGAATTGTATCTTTTAGATTGGATTTTATAGAGTTATATATGTGGTAACGAGCAATTTGAATTGTTTTCAAAAATGAACTGGAAAAGAAGGATACAAATATTTAAAAATAATTTTGTGCACGCAAAAATAATATTTATTTTATTTTATTTTTTTTTTTTTTTTTTTTTTTTTTTGTTGCTGCTCGTACATTGAACCATCAAAAAAAAAAGGAAATGGTGTCTTGGTCCATTAAACAAGATCACATCAGCCAACGCCAAGAGTGCCGAATTTTAAAATAGAAGAAGAATTTTTTTTGTTTGTTTTTTTTTTTGGTGTTTTTTTTTGTGGAAGTCATTTTTTTTTTGTTTTTTTTTTTGTGTTTTTTGTGTATTTTTAGAATTTTTACTACATGTTTAGGCCATTTTTTTTTTTTTTGTTTTTTTTTTTTTTTTTTTTTTTTTTTTGTTTTTTCTTTTTTTTTGTTTTTTTGGGTAAGCAAAATATTTTTTTTGGATTTAATCAGATTCTGGGAAAAATAAGGGGGGGCGGGGGGGGGGGGAGGCAGGAGGAGGGGAAAAGTGGAACAAAGACGGGAGGCACAGGAATGGGCCTTAAAAGAAAGAGGGTGAAATACTAGGAAATAGAAATCTAGAAAACAAGAAGTGAACACCACAAATAAAAAACCGCTTTACACCCCATAATCACAACCACCAAAACAACCAAAAAAAAACCCCCCCCACACACCAAAAACACTGGCTCCCAAAAGACACCACATGCACTACTCGGTGGGGCTGGGGGGCGGTGTGGAGCTGGTTATGACAAGCAGAAAAAAACGAAACATAAGAAACGTCCCCAAGGCTGAAAAAAATGTGATTTCTAAGAAGGCAAACTGATATTGCCTTCCCTCTCTTTCTCCTTCCTTCCACCCTTTCATCCTTCCTTCCCTCTTTCCTCCCTCCCCCCCCCCACCCCCTTCCCCCCCTCCCCCCCCCCCGCTCAAGATACTTTAATGCCATCTTCCCTCTCCTTTTCTCTCCCCCCCCCCCCCCCCCCCCCCCCCCCCCCCCCCATCCCCCCCTCCCCCCCCCCCCCCCCTCCCCCCAATGGATTCTAAGAAGCAAACTGATTTCCTTTGCTTTCCTCAAAACATAGTTAATCATTTTCCTCAGTAGATGTGTTTTCATTATGAATGCAGTACACTTTATCCTCAAAAAACACAACTCTAGCAAGAAATATGTGGCACAAATGAATAATCAGAAAAGAAAATTTCAAAGCTAAAAAACCAAGTTGTGATTACTTTACCCTATCTATCCAGTTAGATGCATAACTCGCTCTACAGTTCTGTTGCTCTGGTATTTTTCATATATACTTATTTCATTAAAGCAACTTTGCAATTTTAGCAAACTTTGGTGATTTTTTATTTAAAAAACCCTAAATTTTAATTGCTGTCAGGGGAGACTGGGAGAGAAGGATACTTCCACTTCCTAAAATTATGTCAGTGCTGGCATACGAGCAGGTGGACCATATCGCGCAAAGAAAGTACCCAAACCGGGATGTGATCTGGGGTTATCAGCTTGTCATAGGGAGTGTGGGATCGGCAATGAGTTGTGTCAGGTGATAGGAGCTGAGCTTCTGCTCAAATCTTGAGGTAGAAGCATTGGCAGTTTGAAATTTTGTAATAGCTCCTAAAGCTACAAATGATTTTGCAAGTAACAATATATCCTTAGCACTAGTTAAATACTGTATATATTCGAGTATAAGCCTAGTTTTTCAGCCTTTTTTTTTAGGCTGAAAAAGTCCCCCTCGGCTTATACTCGAGTCAAGGTTATTTATTATTTTACCTCTATTATTATTATTATTATTATTATTACATTTATTATTTTACTCTATTTATTTATCATTTATCATTTTACTCTATTATTGTTGTTATTACTACATTTATTATTTTACTCTATTTATTATTGTTATTATTACGTTTATTATTTTGCTTTATTATTATTGGAAGGATATGTAAGCACATTTACATTGAACAAGGTTAGAGTAATGGTTTAATCAGAGTTTAATCTGATATTACAATTTTATGTAAATATTTTATTATTGTTTTTCCATAGTTTTTATTGAAGTTTTTTGAGTTGAGTATACATCGAGAAGGTGCCAATCATCGACATAACTTCGATTAACATAAAAAGGGGAAAGTATCTATTTCCAGAAGGGGAATAATAGGAAGAAAGGAGGAGGAGGAAAAGAGAAGGAGGAAAAAAAAGTGCCGGTGAAAAGGAGTGTAATAGATGGAGGGTGCAGAGTGAAGTTAGTACTTTTGTTTACTGATTTACTCCAAGAGGTGTTGTTAGTTATTAGTGGTTTCTTCTTTTCTTCTCTTTCTTCTATCTATATCTACTTGATATTGAAATGTTCTTTGACCGGAGACCAGTCTGTCTTGTTTTCATCAGTTGTTTGTGCATTCTTCAAGTATTCTGTTAAAACGTCCATGTACATTATATCTAATATTTTCAGCAATTCGTCTATCGTTGGCATTTTTTGTTTTTCCATTTTTTTGGCTGCTACTATCCTCGCCGCCGTTGTCATATGGAAGAAAAGTTTGTCTTTGTTTTTTTTCAATTTCAAAGTCTAAGATACCCAGTAAATAATATTCCGCTTTCTTTTTTTTTCTTATATCCAAGATCTTGCTTATTACTCCGTGGACCTCTTTCCAAATTTTTTAAATTTTGTCACATGTCCACCATAAGTGGAAAAAGGTACCCTTCTTTCTTTGACATTTCCAGCACGTATCAGGCACATTTTTGTGGTATTTTGCTAATTTACTAGGAGTGATGTACCATTGGTACATCATTTTAATCCCATTTTCCCTCAAATCATAGGAGTTTATCCACTTTAATTTGGTCTTCCAGATCTTCTCCCATTCTGTTGTTCCGATTGTATGTCCTAGATTCGCCGTCCATTTCAATGTGCAGTTTTTGATTCGATTTTTCTCCGTCTTCCAATCTAAAAGAATTTTATACAGTTTGGTAATCCCCTTTTTTTCCGAAAGCATAACTTTTTCCCAGTATTTATCGCCAGTTTCAAAACCTATTTTTTTATCTTTGTTGAAAGCTTCGTAAAGTTGTCTATATTGAAACCATGATAGTTCACCATGTGTTGCTCTTAATTCCTCCAGGGTTTTGATTGTGTATGCTTCTCTATTTTTCTTTAAGATATCTTTGTATCGGGGCCACTTTTACCAACCCAATTCTTTTCTTTGCGTAGCTTTGAGGGGTGATATCCATAGGGGTGTTTTTTTGATAAAATTTGGCTTTGTATTTCTCCCAAACTTTAATCAACAAAGATCGAATGAAATGATTGCCAAAATTCTTTTCGATGTTCCTTTTAGCGTACCATAAATAGGCATGCCACCCACTTTGGAGGTCATGCCCTTCCAGCACTAGATCTTTAGTAATATTTTATTATTTATTTATTTAAAACTGTTATATCCCAATCTTCTCTACCTCCATAGAGGGACTCAGACCTACTTTAACTTACTGATGCCTCAATTAATGTAATTGTATTGGTATCTATGTTTATTTTGAAATTGATCAGTAGCTGCTGCATTTCCCACCTTCGAGTCAATCTGTTTTCCTAGTTATTTGTGGTAAAATTAGATGCCTCGGCTTATATTCAGGTTGGCTTATATTCAAGTATATATGGTAATACTTACCTTTGGAATAGCTATAACAGGACCTGGTGGTCCAGGAGGACCTGGTGGGCCCACAACTCTAGCACCATCTTGCCCTGCTTCACCCTATTTCAACAGAAGAATATTTTTGTTCTTAAAATGGCTATTTCTGTATAACTGATATCCAAATTAATATTCATTGATAATAAATGGCATTACATTATTTCTTACCTTGGAACCTGGGTCACCTTTATCTCCTTTGGGCCCCTGAATTGAAAAGTCAGCATTAATTGTAGGAAAAGAAGATTCATAAAGGCATCAAGAGTAACATAGACTGCATTTGTTGAAATCCTTCACATTTCACACTTTCAAGGGGCACTTGAAAGAGTAAGTATATATAAGTTTTCTGAAATGCAACATTCTCTCTTTGAATCTTAAGAATGCTATCCGCCCCTCACTCAAATCTCTGTCCCCAAATCCCCCACCTAAACTAAATTTCAATTGTTCATTTCTAACGCTACAGTTTAAATATTGCATGAAGAACCCTCTTGCATACTGTAATGAACTCATACCTTTTCTTCGTAGGCCACAGCCTGGAAGTCAGTGAGCTGGCCTCCATGTTGGGAAGGCAGCTCAGGATGGCAGACATGATGGTATAGGCAGAGAGGCAAGGGGAGGAGTCAGTTAACTCCTGATTGGTTCAGACCCCAAGGGGAGGAGTTGAAGGAGAGTGTAAATAGGCTGCCATTTCTGACAGAAGGGAGAGAGAAGGATTTGATCTAGCAGAGAAAAGCTTAGGATTTCAGACAGGGAGAAGAGAGTTTCTTAGTGAGCTAGGAATTAGCCTGTTAGGGAATAATTAAAGAGCAAGTGCTTCTGTATAGTTTGACTAGGGCAGTCAAAGTGAAGGCTTGTTTACTTGTATTAGGACAGAATACAAGTGGGTTTATTTCCCTAAAGGTCAGAGTAGTCCAGGGGAAACCTAGATACTCTGGAAGGCAGCCAGGGGTGGCTGGTCAAAGAAACGCACTGTTACATATTACAGGATAGTGTGAGGAAAGTAGCTCATGTTAAGGAAAAGTTACTCCTTCTAAAGAAACCATTTGCTTAATAAGTCTGTGCTTCAGAAACAAACTACGCGTATGTACCTCTCAGTAGTCAGTTGTTTGCTTCAAATACTTCAATAAACCTGTTCTCTAGTTTACTGTTAATCTGCCTCAGCCTTGTTTCATCATATAAGGTTAGATCCAGTAAGCCTCCACATCTCTACAGTTCAGTCACCAGAAAGGGAGCCAAAAGGAAGAACCGGTGTATAGGGACATTTTACCTCAAGTACAACAACACGACAATTCCTCAAACTGTAATTTGGGGTGGTGGCAGCAAACCTATCATTACACACACATCGTTCTCTCTCATTACCTGTAATTCCCTCGTATATTTCTTACAGTGGTGGCAGCGGTGGGATTGAAAAGAAAGGTTCCCCCCTGTCACATGCAATAATAGACCCAATATTCCTTTACACATACGTACTTCATCACCAGGGCGCCCTGCAACACCAGGAAATCCTGGCCTTCCTTCTGGACCTTCTTCTCCCTGGTTAAATAAAAACAACAAATATTAACAACATTGACATTAGATTTATTTTAATACTCTGCATGCTATGTTCTGCTTTTTGCAACTTTTTTATTTAGAGGTCCCTGTGATTTAGGTCAAAGCTATAGATTAGAACTCTTGCCTATACCATATGTGAGTTTCCAAGTAACTGTTACTAATCAGGAAACAAGGTATGTGGGCTCATGCTGGAGAAGAATGAGAAGAATGAGCATCTATAAATTAGCCTCACCCTCAATAAAATAAAAACTCAAAGAAAATCCTGTTGACATAAACTTGTTGGAATCCTACCATTTTCTGAGGATAATCTTTGCTTCTTATTTGGTGACCTCTAACTTTTTATGAGTTCAAGAGTGGTTGGAGTAAGAACACTAGCATGCCTATACTCAGTAATTGTCAATTTGCATGTTTAGGGGTGTCAAACTCATTTTCATCAAGAGACCCATCAGCCTTATGGTTGCATTTAAAGGATCATTGTATCCATGGACAGAGAATCAGTGGATAAATATTATAATACTAGCTATACCCATCACACATTGCTGTGGCCAATCTTCCCTCCCTCTTTCTCTCCTTCTTTCTTTCTCTCCTTCCTTCCCTCCCTCCCTCTTGCATACTCAGCAGCAGAGTATGCATGCCCAGTGTGGAACACATCTCACCACACTAAAACAGTGGATGTGGCTCTTAATGAGACATGCCGCATTATCACGGGGTGTCTGCGCCCTACACCACGGGAGAAATTACACTGCTTAGCCGGTATTGCACCACCTGACATCCGCCGGGAAGTAGCAGCCAATAGTGAAAGGACCAAGGCAGAGACATCTCCAGCTCATCCCCTGTTTGGGTATCAGCCAGCACGTCAATGACTTAAATCTAGAAATAGTTTTCTAAGATCTACAGAGACACTCGCTGGAACACCTCAGCAAGCGAGAGTCCAAAAGTGGCAGGCTCAAACCCAGAACCTCAACCAATGGCTGATACCAAATGAGAGACTCCCCTGGGCACACAGAGGACTGGGCGACTTGGAAGGCGCTGAACAGACTGCGTTCTGGCACCACAAGATGCAGAGCCAACCTTCAGAAATAGGGCTACAAAGTGGAATCCTCGACATGCGAGTAGTGGGGAGAGGAGCAAACCACTGACCACCTGCTGCAATGCAACCTGAGCCCTGCCACATGCACAATGGAGGACCTTCTTGCAGCAACACCAGAAGCACTCCAAGTGGCCAGATACTGGTCAAAGGACATTTAATCAACTACCAAATCACAAATGTTGTATTTTGTCTGTTTGTTTGTTTTGTTCTGTTAGAAATGTAATATATTTGACTGGTTGGCCTGACACGACAAATAAATTCCTCCCTCTTTCCTTTTTCCTTCCCTTTTTTTCTTTCCTTCTCTCCTTCCTTCCCTACCTCTTTCCTTCCTTCCCTTCCCCTTTTCTTTCTTCCTTTCTTCCTTCTCTACCTATTATTGGACTGCAACTCCCAGCAGTCATCCTGATCGATCTATCTACCTACTATCTATCTCTATCTAATCTATATATCTTATCTATCTGGAGGATTGCTGGAATATGGCATGAAAATGGATGTCTATGGGATCTGTGGATGCTCTAGTTCAGTGGTTCTCAACCTGGGGTCCCCAGATGTTTTTGGCCTTCAACTCCCAGAAATCCTAACAGCTGGTAAACTGGCTGGGATTTCTGGGAGTTGTAGGCCAAAAACATCTGGGGACCCCAGATTGAGAACCACTGCTCTAGTTCCATCCAAAGCCATTATATGGTTGAGGTAAGGAGACTGGTGACCTCTATATGTTCCTCAAAGTGGCTTAAAGTGATTGAATATTATAACAACATTTTAATGCTGGATACCAGACCTTTGATCATTTTAGTTGCCCTCCCCCGGACACTTTTCGGCTTGTCAATATCTCTTTTAAACTGTGGTGCCTAGAATTGGGCACAGTATTCCAGGCGATATCTAACCAAAGCAGAATAAAGACGTGCCATGACTTCCCTTGATCTAGACACTATACTTCTTTTGATGCAGTCCAAAATCCCATTGGCTTTTTTGGCTGTTGCATCATGTTCAACTTGTTGTCCACAAAGACTCCAAGATCCTTTTCACATGGACTATTGTCAAGTCAGGCATCCTGTAGCTTTGCATTTCATTTTTTTTCTGCCTAAGTGTAGCATCTTACATTTGTACTTGTTGAAATTCATTTTGTTAGTTTGGTCCAGTGTATAAATTTTTATTTAAAGTCTGACCTTTAAACCAGGTGAGCCTTCTACTCCAGGGTCCCCTTTTTCTCCCTGGAAAACAAACATATGAAGTAAAATAATAAAATTTTACAGTACAAACTCCACCTAACAAAGTTGAACATTATGATTAATAAACAGTTGAACTCTCTTATATGCAGTAACAAGAGCTTAAGAAAGGGCCAATATCACCAACATTTCCTGATGGTCCAATGGGCGGTGGTCAGGTTGTTAACTGGGGCTCCTTAAAGGGAGCGGTCAACCCTCCTGTTCAAGGAGCTCCACTGGCTGCCATTCATTTTCCGGACCCAATTCAAGGTGCAGGTTCTTACCTACAAAGCCCTGAACGGTTTGGGACCCGCCTACCTGCGTGACCGCATCTCTGTATACGAACCCACACGATCTCTTCGATCATCTGGAGAGGCCCTGCTCATGCTCCCACCTGCATCGCAAGCGCGATTGGGGGGACGAGAGAGAGGGCCTTTTCGGTGGTGGCCCCCCGACTCTGGAACTCACTTCCTAAGGACATCAGGCAGGCCCCAACTCTGGCAGTCTTTAGGAGGAGCTTGAAGACGTGGCTGTTCCAGTGTGCCTTCCCAGAATAATGATCCCATAGCACTTTGTCCTCCAAAGCACTTTACATTTTTTAAGGTCTGCTTGTATGTTTTCCACAAACGCCCCATCACTTTTTTGCCCATGTTCCAGCATTATTTTCAATTTTAATTTTACATTTGGCCTTCCCATAGTTTTTAATCGTGTGGTCTTATTGTTAATGTTGCATTATTGTATTGTCCATGTTTTATTTTAATTGCTTGTATTGTTGTTATTATTGCTTGTATTGTTGTATTTGGGCTCGGCCTCATGTAAGCCGCACCGAGTCCCTTGGGGAGATGGTAGCGGGGTACAAATAAAGTGTTATTATTATTACTATTATTATTAAAAAGAATGTTGCTTTGCTTAGATGAGTTAAAGGAAGGTACTAATAAACAAAGTTTGCTGATATTAAATACCAGTTTTAGGAGGCCAAAAGCAAATCTCTTTTTTTATGAAGGTTTGCTTGCCATTCCTGGTCTTGTTAAGAAACTGCTGAAACTGCTGAAAAGTATCCTAAAACTTTCAGAACATCTGAAGTTAGAGGTCGGTTAAGGGTCACTAGGGTCAGGCCTGTAGCCAGGATTTTGATTTGGGGGGGGGGGGGCGGAGTGGGAGGGGGGGCTGAGTTTGATTCGGGGGGGGGGGCTGAGTCTGAGTGAAAGAGGGTCTACCCTAGCAAACCTTTTGTATCATTACCCCAATACCCCCATGCATATGGGATATATTGAGCATGGTGATCAGATCATGATATGAATAAACATAACAGTTTAAAAAATGTACCAGTAAGGCCTTTTCGCAGACCACCATGAGAATTTGGGGGGGGGGGGGGCTGAAGGTACATGCCTGACTAGGGTGTAAACTTCCACCAGATTTTCAGCCTTGTTTGACCATGAAGGCATAGGAGAAGCCTTCTTTGAAACAAGAGGCAAACAAGAGATTAAGATCCTTTGGGGAGGCCCTGCTCTCCATCCCGCCACAGTCACAGGCGTGATTGGTGGGGACGAGAGAGAGGGACTTCTCAGTGATTGCTCCTTGGCTTTGAAACTCCCTTCCTGGCAAGATTAGATCAGCCCCCTCCCTCCTGTCCTTCAGAAGGATAGTAAAAACTTGGCTGTGGGACCAAGCTTTTGGGACAGTACAATAAGGCAGCAATACGAAAACTTACCATGCCAACCAGAGTTGATGCAGGGATGATTAAACAGTGGATTTTAATGTCGAGATAAACAATTTCAATGTTTATGTATGTGTATTTATGTCCTGGCATTGAATGTTTGCCATTTATATGTTGTGCTCCGTCCCGAGTCCCCTTTGGGGTGAGAAGGGTGGAATATAAATGCTTTAAATAAACAAATAAATATATTGTCGAAGGCTTTCATGGCCGGAATTAATGGGTTGTTGTAGGTTTTTCCGGGCTATATGGCCATGTTCTGGAGGCAATTTTTCTCCTGACGTTTCGCCTGCATCTATGGCAAGCATCCTCAGAGGTAGTGAGGTCTGTTGGAAGTAGGAAAAATGGGTTTATATATCTGTGGAATGACCAGGGTGAGACAAAGGACTTTTGTCTGTTGGGGCTAGGTGTGAATGTTTCAGCTGATCACCTTGATTAGCATTCAATGGCTTGGAAGTGCCTGGGGGGAATCTCTTGTTGAGAGTGATTTTATGTGCCTGTTTGTTTCCCCTCTGTTGTTTTGCTGTTGTAATCCTCTCACCTCTGCAGGAGTCTACCATGTACCATGCAGCTGTGGACAAGTCTACATAGGGACCACCAAACGCAGCGCCCAGACACGCATCAAGAAACATGAAAGGCACTGCAAACTACTCCAACCAGAGAAATCAGCCATAGCAGAGCACCTGATGAACCAACCTGGACACAGCATATTATTTGAGAACACAGAAGTGCTGGACCACTCTCACAACCACCATGTCAGACTACACAGAGAAGCCATTGAAATCCACAAGCATGTGGACAATTTCAACAGAAAGGAAGAAAGAAACCATGAAAATGAACAAAATCTGGCTACCAGTATTAAAAAACTCAAAAATTACAACAGCAAAACAACAGAGGGGAAACAAACAGGCACATAAAATCACTCTCAACAAGAGATTCCCCCCAGGCCCTTCCAAGCCAGCTGAAACATTCACAGGTAGCCCCAGCAGACAAAAGTCCTTTGTCTCACCCTGGTCATTCCACAGATATATAAACCCATTTTTCCTACTTCCAACAGACCTCACTACCTCTGAGGATGCTTGCCATAGATGCAGGCGAAACGTCAGGAAAAACCTACAACAACCCAACAAATAAATAAATAGGAAATTACTTCTACTCCAAGATCCCATGTCCTAAGCATACCTCATAGCAGTGGTTCCCAACCTTTAGTCCTCCAGGTGTTTCGGACTTCAATTCCCAGAAGTCCCAGCGAGCTTACCAGATGTTAGGAATTGTGAGAGCTGGAGTCCAAACACCTGGAGGACCAAAGGTTGGGAACCACTGCATGTTTGGGAAAATGTTATTTTACTTTTTTGTGGGAGCATGTACGTCACTCCAAGGTTGGGGAGAGGGGATAATGCAGCCTTCTAGCCTTCTACAGTTGCCCATCCCTGATTTAAAGTGGGAGAAGAGACACAGGCAAATGGTTAGTCCTGTTATCCAGATTTCCAGAGGAGGTCTAAACAGTGTTGTAGACATTGGTATTGTGTGCATTTCTGTGTACGAACCCACACAATCTCTTCAATCATCTGGAGAGGCCCTGCTTGCGCTCCCACCTCCCTCGCAGGCGCGATTGATAGGACCGAGGGAGAGGGCCTTCTCGGTGGTGGCCCCCCAACACTGGAACTCACTTCCAAAGGATATCAGGCATGCCCCAACATTGGCAGTCTTTAGGAGGAGTCTGAAAACGTGGCTGTTCCAGTGTGCCTTCCCGGAATAAAGAAATAACTCCTAGCAAAATGTCCTTACAAATGCACTTTAACTACTGGATTGTGTTGGACTGCGCCCCTCACTTCTTAAAACCCTCCTACCAGACATATTCTACCTTGTTTTTGCCCAGCGTTATTTTTTAAATTTAAAATTATTACATTTGGCTTGGCCATAGGTTTTTAAATCCTTTTGCGTTACTGTTATATGTGATTTATATTATTATGTATTGCATTGTATTGTTTTGTTTATTGCTTTTTTGTTTTATTGATGTGTTGTTGGGCTACGGCCTCATGAAGCCGCTCCAAGTCCCTTGGGGAGATGGTGGCGGGGTATAAATAAAGATTATTATTATTATTATTATTATTATTATTCTAAAAGTAAGCACCACTAGCTCAGCAAATTGATTGATCCCATTGCCAAATGACGGAAACACCAAGTTTAAAAAAGTGTTATAATTAAAATGTACACATTTAGAATTTGCTTGTTCAAAAGAGCAATTTGTCTACTGTCTAGCAATAGAGCTACAATTGGGTAGTTTCAGTTAAAAATGTGTTTTTTAATTCAGCTAATTTTAATTATGGGATGTTCTTTGAAAGCTTTGCAGTTTGAGGATCTGATGTCCATTAAAATTATAAGATAATTGGAATATAGATGAGGTGGCAAACTGAATTCTTGCAACAAGTACAAAAATGCTCTAATTAACAGAGAGTTTACTACATTTATTTACCTTTGGTCCCATTGGTCCTTGTTGGCCCATCTCACCAGCTGGACCCTATAAGAAAATGGTACAAATATTTAAACCTCAGGGGAGCGTGCTTGCTCCATCCATGTTCAACATCTACACAAATGACCAGCCACTGGCAGAAGGGACAGAGAGTTTCATCTATGCTGATGATCGTGCCATTACCGCTCAAGCAGGGAGCTTTGAGATGGTAGAACAGAAGCTTTCCGAAGCTCTAGGTACCCTTACTGCCTATTACAGGGAAAACCAGCTGATCCCCAACCCATCTAAAACACAGACATGTGCCTTTCATCTCAAGAACAGACAAGCATCCCGAGCTCTGAAGATCACCTGGGAAGGAATCCCACTGGAGCATTGCAGCGCACCCAAATACCTGGGAGTCACTCTGGACCGTGCTCTTACCTACAAGAAGCACTGCCTGAACATCAAGCAAAAAGTGGGTGCTAGAAACAATATTATACAAAAGTTGACTGGCACAACCTGGGGATCACAACCAGATACAGTGAAGACATCTGCCCTTGCGCTGTGCTACTCTGCTGCTGAGTATGCATGCCCAGTGTGGAACACATCTCACCACACTAAAACAGTGGATGTGGCTCTTAATGAGATATGCCGCATTATCACAGGGTGTCTGCGCCCTACACCACTGGAGAAATTACACTGCTTAGCCAGGTATTGCACCACCTGACATCCGCCGGGAAGTTGCAGCCAATAGTGAAAGGACCAAGGCAGAGACATCTCCAGCTCATCCCTTGTTTGGGTATCAGCCAGCACGTCAACGACTTAAATCAAGAAATAGTTTTCTTAGATCTACAGAGACACTCGCTGGAACACCTCAGCAAGCGAGAGTTCAAAAGTGGCAGGCTCAAACCCAGCACCTCAATCCGTGGGTGATACCAGATGAGAGACTCCCCCCTGGGCACACAGAAGACTGGGCGACTTGGAAGGCGCTGAACAGACTGCGCTCTGGCACCACGAGATGCAGAGCCAATCTTAAGAAATGGGCTACAAAGTGGAGTCCACACATGCGAGTGTGGAGAAGAGCAAACCACTGACCACCTGCTGCAATGCAACCTGAGCCCTGCCACATGCACAATGGAGGACCTTCTTGCGGCAACACCAGAGGCACTCCAAGTGGCCAGATACTGGTCAAAGGACATTTAATCAGCTACCAAGTTTGCAAAATTTGTGTGTTTTTATCTGTTTGTTTTGTTCTGTTAGAAATGTAATACAATGTTCTGGTTGCGGATGACATGATAAATAAATAGTGGAGCTAGCTTTCACAAAGCTCACAAGGCACAGCCCCAAACCCAGGTTTTTGGAGAGTGCAAGATTAGGTGTATGAGAGTCAGCATTGTGTAGTGATTTGAATATTGAGTTCCTGGTTTTATAAGACCCTTGATTGCTCTCAATACCATTTATTAGGTTTGTTTCTCTGTAATTGGGACTTCAAGGTAAAATGTAGATAACACCCAATACTATTTTCTCCTTTTCATCTAAAATTCAGAGAACTGTTTTAAATCAGGATCTGATGTCAGTCATGAATTGAGTTGAATACAGCCCTATACCCATGTATTGCAGTGCAGAGAAAGTTAACAAATATTTTTTCAATGTATTGTCGAAGGCTTTCATGGCTGGAATAACTGGGTTGTTGTAGGTTTTTTGGGCTATATGGCCATGTTCTAGAGGCATTCTCTCCTGACGTTTCACCTGCATCTATGGCAAGCATCCTCAGAGGTAGTGAGGTCTGTTGGAACTAGGAAAATGGGTTTATATATCTGTGGAATGTCCAGGGTGGGACAAAGAACTCTTGTCTGTTGGAGCTAGGTGGCCACATAGCCCGAAAAACCTACAACAACCCAACCTGATTTTTCCGGGATTTATAAAAATTAATTAACAATATTGCTAATTTAGCAATTTCCATCTATACCAGCTCAGTACAGGAAGTCCCCAAGTTACGAACAAGGTAGGTTCTGTAGGTTTTTTCTTAAGTTGAATTTGTATGTAAGTTGAAACATACAATTTTTGAAGTGCAAAACCTTTTTACCACTATGCAGGTCCACCAAACATGGAAGAAGGTGACTTTCTACATTTTTTATCTCCAACATTCCCCCTTTTGGGATTTTTAAATTTTAGCCATTAATTCAGGAGTTATATAACTTCTATAGAACATTTGGAGCCCCCGGTGGCACAGTGGGTTAAAGCGCTGAGCTGCTGAGCTTGTTGACTGAAAGGTCGCAGGTTAAAATCCAGGGAGCGGCATGAGCTTCCGCTGTCAGCCCCAGCTTCTGCCAACCTAGCAGTTTGAAAACATGCAAATGTGAGTAGATCAATAGGTACCACTCCAGTGGGAAGGTAACAGCACCCCATGCAGTCATGCTGGTCACATGACCTTGGAGGTGTCTACGGACAATGCCAGCTCTTCGGCTTAGAAATGGAGATGAGTACCAACCCCCAGAGTTGGATACGACTGGACTTAATGTCAGGGAAAACCTTATATAAATGGCAATATGTGCATACTTTACAAAAACACAACATGCACCTAATCTATGTATATAATAAAAGTCAGTATTTGTATGCGGAGGGAGGACGGTGTATGTGGCAGCTTTCTGATTGGCTGCCACTTTCACAGGCCACTGTGACCAACATGGGTGACAGACCTGGATCAAACTTGGCACACATAACCCCCATAACCCCCTTTACGTTCTGGTGAGGTTTAGGGGAGGATGGACAAAGTTTGATGGGATTTGTAGTACTTTCAAACCCATCGGTTCCCACAGACCACTGTGGCTCCCAACAAAGACCGATAAAGAGCAAACTTGGAACACAGAGCCCCCATGACCCACTCTACATCCTACTGCAGTTTGGAGGAGGGCAGACCATGGATGATGGGACTTGAAGTACCTCCACTCACTTCCCGAGACCGCTGCGACCCTCATCCAATGACCGAGCAAGACCAAACTTGGCACACATAACCCCCATGACCCCCTACATGCTGGTGAGGGTTGGGAGAGGACGGACAATGGATGATGGGATTTGTAGTACTTTCCCACCCTTCAGTTCCCACAGACTACTGCGGTCCCCAACAAACACCAAACTTGGCACACAGAGCCCTCATTGCCCACTCTACATCCTGGTATGGTTTGGAGGAGGATGGACCACGGATGATCGGACTTGAAGTACCTTCACTCACTTCCCAATACCGCTGCGACCCTCATCTAATGACTGATCAAGACCAGACTTGGCACACAGAGCCCCCATGACCCCCTCTACATCCTGGTGCTGTTTGGAGGTGGGTGAACCATGGACAATGTGACTCTCAGTACCTTCACTAACTTCCTGAGAGCACTGTGAGCCACATAAATGACTGAAAAAGACCACCTTTGCCACACAATGCCTTTCTCAATTTACCTGGGCAGCACTGGGTCCCCAAGCTACTATATTAATATTTAAGAATAAAGAATAGACTGCCATACCAGAAATAACCCCTGGAGAGCACTCCCTTGCACACACATCATGGGGGAGCTTTAATACAACATATGGTTTTATCTCAACTGCCTTTCTTTCCTTAATAGATTTTCACTGGTAAGAGGAAAGCTGGAAGCAGGAGTAGGGAAAAATCAAGAGGCTCACAAATAGAAAATTGGGTATTGATCCAATAAAATTCCATAAATGAGAGAAGGCAATTACACAGTCAAAGCCTTGTCTGAAAGACTCATAATTGGATTAAGAAAATCTAAAAGAATGATTGCCATTGCATCTGAAAGAATCTGTCTACGACACAACAGTATCTATGAACAGCTAAACGAGAGCTCTTGTCATAACAGCTGGCTTTAGTCAAATCCTCTTCAAAACCCACTTCTTTTCATCACCATCACTTGAAATAGATTTGCTTGAATAGCTTAGATGGGAAAACCTAGAGCTGCTTGAATTTGAATGGAATGATGTAATTCTTAATTCTGGTTCAGAACATAAACGTGATCATCTCCTCTTATTGTACGCTACTTTACCAGTCACTGTGTTCTCTTCCATTCATGCTATTCCCAAAACTGGACTGTGAATTGCTTTTGGAACTATGAAACAGGTTGGTGCTGCATCAATATTATCAATGATTAGACAACATCAAGGGAAATATGGGCAGTGTCAAGTCAAAATAGTCCAACTCCCCACAGATTATGCCTAAATGGATTTAGAACATTCCAAGTTCTCAGATATTAAAAACAAAACCCTATTATATTTACTTACGTTTTGCCCCCTGGATACTGGGATTCGAAATTCACTTGACAAGCCGGTGATTCCTGATCCTTCCATATCCTAATAAATATAAAGAAAGGTTATCTTATCTGTATCTTTACAGATCTTTTTTGGCCCCAGGTACATTTGCTCCCCCTCTCCCACAGTTAGATTCCAAGGTTGGGACCTCATCCAAGGTTTGTGCTAGACAATCCATTGAGATGTGGCGGCAAAAATAAACCAATGGGATTGTGGCCTGCATCAATAGGAGCCTAGTGTCTAGATCTAGGGAAGTCCTGCTCCCCATGCTCTATTCTGCTTTGGTTAGACCACTTTACCTGGAATATTGTGTCCCATTCTGGGCACCACAATTCAGAAGAGATATTGACAAGCTGGAATGTGTCCAGAGGAGGGCGACTCAAAGGATCAAGGGTCTAAACTGCATAGGGCTGGGCGGTTTCGTTTCGTTAATTCGTAATTCGTTAATAATTCGTTATTTTTTTTAATTACAAAACGATAACGAACCATTCTGGAGCAATTTTTTAAAAAAACGAATTTTTAAACACGTTTTGTAAATGCTTCGTATTTCGTTATTGTATTCGTTTCGTTATTGTTCTGAGGTCGTTATTATTTCCGCATGTCTGGGGCAAGTTTTTTGTTTAATTAGTGAAAAAAAATTATAATATCACACCAACAGTCAACAACAGAGGGAGAGGGAAGCTTCAGAAGTTTTTGGAGGTTTTTTAGCGTATTTCGTGGTCGCGTCCGCCATTAACGAATCGATTCGTTATTGTTTCGGAAATCGATTCGTTAATGTTTTGTAATTTTTTTTCACATTTACGAAATTTCGTAAATATCGAACTTTTTAAAAGGAAAATTTTGTAATTATTTAAAATATCGAAACAAAAAACCCCCCCAAATACAAATCGATTTTAGAAACAAATTTTTCCGTTGTTACCCAGGCTGCTGGAGAACAAGCCCTATGAGGAGCGGCTTAGGGAACTGGACATGTTTAGCCTGAAGAAGAGAAGGCTGAGAGGAGATATGATAGCCATGTATAAATATGTGAGAGGAAGCCACAGGGAGGAGGGAGCAAGCTTGTTTTCTGCTTCCTTGGAGACTAGGACGCGGAACAATGGCTTCAAACTACAAGAGAGGAGATTCCATCTGAAGATGAGGAAGAACTTCCTGACTGTGAGAGCCGTTCAGCAGTGGAACTCTCTGCCCCGGAGTGTGGTGGAGGCTCCTTCTTTGGAAGCTTTTAAACAGAGGCTGGATGGCCATCTGTCAGGGGTGCTTTGAATGCAATATTCCTGCTTCTTGGCAGGGGTTGGACTGGATGGCCCATGAGGTCTCTTCCAACTCTTTGATTCTATGATTCTAATGTCTATTATAATTGGGACTAACAATTTAGACCATCCAGTCCAACTCCCTGCCAAGAAGCAGGGAAATTGCATTCAAAGCACCCCCGACAGATGGCCACCCAGCCTCTGTTTAAAAGCTTCCAAAGAAGGAGCCTCCACCACACTCCGGGGCAGAGAGTTCCACTGCTGAACGGCTCTCACAGACAGGAAGTTCTTCCTCATGTTCAGATGGAATCTCCTTTCTTGTAGTTTGAAGCCATTGTTTCGCATCCTAGTCTCCAGGCCAGCAGAAAACAAGCTTGCTCCCTCCTCCTAATGACTTTTCTCTTATACATGGCTATATTGTCTCCTCTCAGCCTTCTCCAGGCTAAACATGCCCAGCTCTTGAAGCCGCTCCTCATAGGACTTGTTCTCCAGACCCTTGATCATTTTAGTCGCCCTCCTCTGGACACATTCAGCTTGTCAATATCTCTCTTGAATTGTGGTGCCCAGAATTGGACACAATATTCCAGGTGTGGTCTAACCAAGGCAGAATAGAGCATGACTTCCCTAGATCTAGACACTATGCTCCTATTGATGCAGGCCAAAATCCCATTGGCTTTTTTTTTTGCCGCCACATCACATTGTTGGCTCATGTTTAACTTGTTGTCCACGAGGACTCCAAGATCTTTTTCACACATACTGCTCTCGAGCCACGCGTCCCCCATTCTGTATCGTTGCATTTCATTTTTTCTGCCTAAGTGGAGTATCTTGCATTTGTCACTGTTGAACTTCATTTTGTTAGTTTTGGCCCATCTCTCTAATCTGTTAAGAGAGTTTTGGTTCATAAACGGAGACGCGGTCGGGCAAGTAGGCGGTTCCCAAACCGTTCAGAGCTTTGTAGGTCAAAACCTGTACCTTGAATTGGACCTGGAAAATAAACGGCAGCCAGTGGAGCTCCTTAAACAGGACGGTTGACCGCTCTCTGTAATTCGCACCAGTTAATAATCTGGCTGCCGCCCGTTGGACCAATTGGAATTTCCAGGCCATCTTCAAGGGCAGCCCCATGTAGAGCGCATTGCAATAGTCCAATCTAGAGGTAACTAAGGCATGGACCACCATGGCCAAATACAACTTAACGAGATACGGTCACAGCTGGATATGGATATGATTGAGCCAGAGCAAAACAAAATTGTAAGTTTAACAATGTCAGGCTACATGGTATATTCTCTCTGAAACAAGCAAAATACCTCAAATCCAAAGCCATAACCCGGGCCCGGTGGTCCTGGGGGTCCCGGAGGCCCTGATTGCCCAGGTTGTCCATCATCTCCTGCCTCGCCTTTAGGGCCTGGTGGTCCAATCTCTCCTGGATCGCCCTAAGAAAAACAAACATATGATTTTGATGATGTGGCATTGTTTTGTATTAATCTTGACCATGCGTAGTTTTGCACATCCTTGTCACCACCCTTTCATCTCCTGATCAATGCAAATAGGTGCATAATAAATATAATAATAATAATGCATAGAATCTGTATGTCTGCATGTCCAATGTCATTCTTTGTCTAAATGTTTTTTTGTAATCTGATATACCCTCTCACACTGGACATTGCAATAAAAAGAACCTGTGCTTTAAAGTTATTGAAAAGTCATTCGTGACAGGTGGAGGCAGAATGGGCTCCCCCAAGAAAGCATTCTTATTGCTTATGATAGTCCATGGTATTTCACCTTAGAACTCCATCTCTGGGAAACCTGTTTATTTTCTAACTAATAAAATGTTAAAAGTAATCTATTCTATTACCTTTCTTCCAACTGGTCCCTGTATACCTTGTTCACCCTGTTAAGACAAAACATAATGGCTATGGACTAAATTATAGAATCATATAATCAAAGAGTTGGAAGAGTCCTCATGGGCCATCTAGTCCAACCCCCTGCCAAGAAGCAGGAATATTGCATTTAAATCACCCCTTACAGATGGCCATCCAGCCGCTGTTTAAAGCTTCCAAAGAAGGAACCTCCACCACACTCCGGGGCAGAGAGTTCCACTGACCACCAGAAAACACAGTTTTTTCTGTTGGTCATGGGTTCTGTGTGGGAGGTTTGGCCCAATTCTATCGTTGGTGGGGTTCAGAATGCTCGTGATTGTAGGTGAACTATAAATCCCAGCAACTACAACTCCCAAATGACAAAATCAATTTTTTTAGTGAAGGACATACATTGGGTTGTTAGGTGTCTTGTGTCCAAATTTGGTGTCAATTCACCTAGTGGTTTTTGAGTTCTGTTAATCCCACAAACTAACATTACATTTTTATTCATATAGATAAAATGCAGTGACAATATCACAATTATACCTCTAAGTATAATGAGCTTACAATATATTTGTAACTCCTATACTGCCAACCTTTTACACTATTGGCCAGCTTAGGCACTATAACTTTCTTATACACGTTCTTTCCTCAATGATCACAATGGGAATGTTTTTTAAAAAAGAGATTTTTTTTGCTTTTTTAAATATAATTCACACAACTGCTTTAAGCTTGGTACCTATTAGCTAATTATGTAACCCATTTTTGTAGGAAGACTTTTAATTACTGCCCCAGTTGTTTTGAAGGGTTAGAAAACTTTAGTTTTTTAAACATGAATCATGAAAGAACTCTGTGAAATGAAAGACAAAAATGTCTACTGAAAACCAAAGGCAGTGGGAGTGGATTTCCAGAAAGGGTAATACAGTTAAGTTGCTAGAACCTGTCCACTGAGTAGCTTGTTAAGAAAAAAATACCTTAAAGCAGAGACCTAGCTGTAAGAGCTGTAAGCTTCCTAAATAAGAAACTTTGCCCCAATTAATTTTTTTTCTGGAATCAAAGTAACTTTTCCAATGTCAATATAATTGGACCTTATGTTGAGGGGTCACTATCTTGTAAATGATGAGGGTGTTTATGTGTTGGGAGATGCATCTAGCAGCAGTCCTGTACACTCCACCCTTTCAATCATTAAGAGTTTCATTCATGAACAGCTTGTGGTCAGAGAGATAATGCAATTTCAATTAGGCCCATTTTCTGAAACACGTATGTCACACATGACGTGTGACATACAATTCTGTATGTTACACGTCATGTTTAAAGTAGTCCTCTGAGAATAAGGAAATCTCTGTCATGAACCGACTGGGTGATCTGAGGTAAGCTGCTACCAGCTCAAATTTCCTTTACTCATTTTCTATGTTTTGGTGTGAGTAAGGCTACTGATGCCATGTGGACAACCCATGCACTTGAAGAACTATTATCTAAATAGGGCCAATTAGATAACTTCATATGCAACACGCACTGCTATCTGTCTCCCCCTGGTAGTGTCCACCTCAGCAAGCGAGAGTCCAAAAGTGGCAGGCTAAAACCCAGAAACTCAATCAATGGCTGATACCAAATGAGAGACTCCCTCCTGAGCACACAGAAAACTGGGTGACTTGGAAGGCGCTGAACAGACTGCGCTCTGGCACCACGAGATGCAGAGCCAACCTTAAGAAATGGGGCTACAAAGTGGAATCCACGACATGCAAGTGTGGAGAAGAGCAAACCACAGAACACCTACTGCAATGCAACCTGAACAAACCACAGATCACCTACTGCCATGCAACCTGAGCACCTACATACACAATGGAGGACCTTCTTATAGCAACACTAGAGGCACTCCAAGTGGCCAGCTACTGGTCAGAGGACATTTAATCAACTACCAAGTTTGCAAACTTTGTGTTTTGTTTGTTTGTTTGTTTTTAATGCAATACAACTGTTTGGTTTGCTCCTGACACGATAAATAAATAATGTCCACATGAAACAGAGACAAATCATTACATCAACCAATATGCTCTTTTTAGTCAAATCAGAATGAGGTGATCTGGGCAAAAGTCTGGGCACAAGGAAAGAGCATTCACGGTGTTGAGCCAGCCCAAGACAAGCTTAGTACAAACCCATCAGGAGTGTTTTTCAATCCACACATTCCACCATTCACACTGATTAAATAGCTGAATTTAAAGAAATCTTGATGTTTCATTTGCTTTCTACACTGTGACTTATCAATGCGTATATGTTTTGTGTGACCTCAACTAAAAATAGTGGCCATCTATGCTTAAGTGTGTCTTGGATGATGTCTGGAAGTTGTTAGCAGAAGAATGATGAATTGTTAATACATTTAGATGTCTTTGGAAAAAGTATGAGATATTTGAAACTCTCAAAACTGGAATTAAAAGTTGTATATGTTTTTAAAATGAATTTGAGATTGAACCTTACTTTTTCTCCCTTGATTCCTGCAAAACCAATCAGTCCATCTTGACCAAAATGACCAGGGACACCCTGAAAATGACAACAAGTATTAGGGTAAGTCATAATTGCTTGCAGAAGATAGCTCTGACTATGACTTTGGAGACCAGGGTTTCAGCCATGGAAGCCCATTTTCAGCTTCAGAGGAAGCTAAAGGCAAAAGCCCAACTGGACAAACTGTGCCAAGAAAATCTCATGATAGATTATTATAAGTCAGAAACAATTTAAAGGCACACAACAACTGCCAAAATAAAATCTGCTTACAATAAAATCTGTTTTTAAACACTATTTTTCAGAAGTAGAGAAAGGTTTGAAGCAACAGTAGAATTTGCCTATACAAAAGACATTAATATAATTCTTTTGGGGTTCTCTTACAACCCAAATAATAGAGATGATATCAGTGAAATTGGATGTGCTACCCTCTTGCCCAGTTGCATGGCCTCCGTTGGGAAACCTTGGCCCATAAAAGTCTTATGACCTCATTACATGGAAGTCTAGAAGCATCTTCTCTGCACTGCTCAGCAAACTTCCTGCATGTAGCAGTAGTATGGAGTCCCCCAGAGCCCATCAGATGACACAAGGCTACATCTGGCGGGGCTCCACTCGGTTCCTTGCCGGCAGTGTACCATAGCACTGAAGAGCGGAGCCCAGAGAAGCTGGATGTACACCTGTCTCCCCATAGAAGAAGCTGGGGAGTAAACAGTGGGAAGCAGGGGAAAGTGGAGAAATGGTGTGGGAAGGGAATGCAACATGACACTGCCCCATGGTTTCTCCTACTGTCCCTTACTGTTCCCTCGCTTCTCGGCCTCCATGTGATGAGGTCCCTAGAAATTTATATAGTTATTAACCCAGTGGTGAGATTTTTTTTTCATAATAGTGACATAGAGTTTGTCCAAGAAACAGATAGTCTGGTAGCAAAAGCCAAGTAGGATAGACTTCTGTTAGTAGGGGAAATTAGAAGGTAGACATTTGAGGAGTCTACCAATATTCATCACAGGACCTACAACCTTTAGTCCACAATTGCACTGCTATAGCTATATGAGCTATTCCATCAAATGGCAATTAGCAAAGTGAATCCATTTTTTAATGATACTAATATTGACTCCACTGCTAATATAGAAGGTGAAAGGCTCCAGAGCTTGGGTATGCATAGTTACTTACATGAGGTCCTGCTTCTCCATCTTTCCCATTTTCTCCTGGAAATCCAGGGGGTCCTGCATTTGAATCTGGCACTGGGAATCCAGGAGCACCAGGTGGACCTGGAGGACCTGGAGGACCTGGAGGCCCAGGGGCACCCTGCATAAATCAGACACACTATTACAGAATAATTACAATAATTGACTCAGTAATGGAGTTACTTAGTAGTCTTGGAAGCCCATTGTCTCAGCCTGAGGCCCACTGTACTTGTCTACTGTAGGGGATAATATATGCAAAGTACCTGAAATGCTGTTTAAATAATAATAATAATAATAATAATAATAATAATAATAATAATAATAATAATAATATATGTATATATAAAGATTAAAATAAAGAGCCTGAAATAAAATAAAATAAATTATTTTATGTCAGGCTCATCACAAGTTTACAAGTTGGGACTGAATCCTCAAACATTCTGATTCACTGGATTTTCATAAAGCTATATGGACTAATCTTGACTTGCCACTTGCTCAATCTGTCATATCAGTTAGTCACACCAATGGACACACTAAGTTAGGCACAGTGTGCTCAGCTACTGGAACCTTAAATAAGTAATTCTAAGGACCTTGTCATATGGCCTGTAGCAGCACTCCTCTTAATGGCCAGCCATGTGATGAGGTCCTTATCTAAACTCCCACTAATATTAACATTCAAAGCACCAGTGAGAAAGGAAAATCATTACTTCCCGCAAAGTTGTTTTTATTCTGTCAAGATCTGCAGCCTCAATTCTGAAACAAATATGTTTCTTCCAGTTTTTCCATTGTGTTATAGTGAGACAGTGAACAGTATTTTGCTACTACTACCCTAGGTTCTTAAAACCTTAAGCGGACATTATTGTTGAAAAAGCTACCAGGAACAACTAGAGCACCGACTTACTCTGGGTAGTTCTATTTCTTTGCCAAAGTCACCAGATCCAGAGCCTTCGATTTCCACTCTTCTCTGAAATGAGGAAGAAGAAGAAGAAGAAGAAGAAGATTATTTTTCTATCCCGCCTCCATCTCTCCAAAGGGACTTGGGATGGCTTACATGGGGCCAAGCCCAAAGCAATTACAAGCAAAGCAGTAACAATTAAAACAGAATAAAACAGCGTAACAATAATAACAAGCAATAGCAGTAACAATAATTTTGGAGGGGGGAAGGAGACCACTATGCAAACTGGTTAAAGGATAAGGTGGTTCAATAAGGTGGAGACAATGTATAATAGCATAGGAAATATCATGAAAAGTCATGGCCCGACTTACCGGGCCAAAGATGTTGCAGTGCAGGGTGTCCCCCACTGCCATTCTTGCCTGAGGAGGGGCTTCTTCCTCCCAGAAGCCCCCTCTGATGGCGGGAAGGATTCCCGCCGGCGGGTCAAGGGGCCAATGGCCAATTGACCACGCCCCTGCAGGTGAGGCCTGAGCTGGCCTCTCCTTCTTTCTGGTCAGCCTTCATAAGGCTGCCCAAGGCTCCCCAGCAGGCACTTGGCCTGCATAGGAAATATCATGAAAACAGAGTGAAATTAACAGGATCAGAATCAATTCAATGTAATATAGGAAATCAGATTAAATGACGATTCAGGCTATGATACATATCGTTTGTAATAGGAGTCATCAATCGAAAGCACGATGAAACATCCATGTCCTTAATTCCTTATGGAATATGGCTAGAGAGGGTGCCAGCCTAATCTCCCTGGGGAGGGAGTTCCAGAGACGGGGGGCCACCACAGAGAATGCCCTTTAAAAACTGCAAATGGGTTGTGAAAAAACTTTATGCTACTTTAAGGGTCCTTTTACACATGCCTAAAAAAGCCAGAAGTAACCAGGATTAAAAAAAAGGGGGGCGGCGGCTAAACAGTGTTTAGCGAAATAGTGGGCAGAATTGGGTTAACAGCTTTTTTTTTTTTTTTGTCGTATCAGGAGTGACTCCTGGTGTGAGAGAATTGGCCGTCTGCAAGGACATTGCCCAGGGGACACCTGGATAATTTTGATGTTTTTATCATCCTTGTGGGAGGCTTCTCTCATGTCCCCGTATGAGGAGCTGGAGCTGATAGAGGGAGCTCATCCGCCTCTCCCCGGATGCGAACCTGTGACCTGTTGGTCTTCAGTCCTGCTGGCACAGGGCTTTAACCCACTGCGACACTGGGGGCTCCGGGTTAACAACTGAAAAGCATGTGTTAAAAAGTTGTGCTTAAAACCCGATCCCCCCTCCCCAATGCACACTTTCACATGACTGTGTATCTTTGCAGTCATGCAAAGCACGTGATTCCCTTCCCTTCCTCCTGTGTGGACTGCTCCAGCGTACATGCACATTTAAAATGCCTGAAACAGTTGGTTGGACTGTCAAAAAATGGAGTCACAGAAACACAGGGGGCTAAAGGGAAGCAGAATCGGAAAGCAATTAAAATTCTCTGCAACATTTCCTTTATTTAGATCTTTATAATATTAAGAAGAGCTTGAATTAATAGTTGGGCGAAGAGAGAGAATAAGAAGTCTGCTTGTGTTTACATCTGAATCTCTGCATGTGTGCAAATGAGATCCAACACATCTTGAAGAGATTTTTTTTTTTAAAAAAAAAAAAACTTCCACCAGATATCCCCTGTTCGCCCTCCAGCTTGATTTTCTTCAAAGGAAGGTGTGAAGATGGTGGGAAACCATTTATCGGGACTGACACATCTGAGTGCCCTTGCTATCAGGCCCTGGGATTTTTTTACCCCACTTTTAAAACTCGCATTTTGGTGCTGTCTGGAAGCGCCCTAAGAGAGCATTTTTCTGATCAAAACTCTTAGATAGCATTTTTAGTTTGTAGCCTAAGTTGGTAGACTTTCCCCTGCAGATTAAAGAATAGCGACGCAACATCCATGATGCACCAAAATGTAACGGGGAATCTTTGTTTGGGGCATATTATTGCCTCATTCACAAACCAGGTGAGCAAGTATGTAATTTTACAGCAACAGGGAATATGAAGTGAAGGGACCTGATTCTTGTCCTTTCTGTCATCCCAGGCATTTTTCTCCCAAACTAGATTGGATTGGAGAGAAGGATATTAGCAATGACAGACTTGAGGATATGAAGTGGGAGACGATGCTACTGTAGTTCTTGTCATTGTCGTGTCCTTTTCATACCAGAATCTAACTACTGCTGGAGTCTTGTTTAATATCTGAATAGAACAGAAAAGTACACAAAGCCACCATCTATTAGGGCCCCATCTACACTGCCATCTGCAATCTGATTATCTGCTTTAAACTGGTTTATGTGGCATTGTGGTTGGGCGTTGGGATTCAGGACTTCTGCTCGATCTATCTGGCTGTTCCTCCAGACAAATTTATACATGACTAAAGGTCTACATCAGGGGTCCCCAAACTACGGCCCACGGTCCGGATCCAGCCCCCCGAGGGCCCGCGGGGAGGGTGAGAGGAGGGCGAAGGGGGAGGGAGGCGGCGGGCGAAGGGGGGGAGGCGGCGGGCAAAAGGGGGGAAGCGGCGGGCAAAGCGGCTTGGGCCCGCTTTGCCGGCCATCTCCGTGGGCCCAGTCTGCTTTTCTGACTTCTGGATGCATCCAGGAGGCTGGGGAACGGGAGGGAGGCGGCCAGCAAAGGGGCTTGGGCCCGCTTTGCCGGGTGTCTTCATGGGCCCAGCATGCTTCTCCTGCCTTCGGGATGCGGCCTCGCCACATCCAGGAGGCAGGAGAACGAGGGGGGGGGGAGGCGGCGGGCAAATGTTGTCCCCTGACCTTAATTCCAGTCATGTCTGACTGGGGGGTGGTGCTCATCTCCATTTCTAAGCTGACGAGCCGGTATTGTCCCTAGACACCTCCAAGGTAATATGGCCAGCATGACTGCATGGAGCGCCGTTTACCTTCCCGCCGGAGCGGTATCTATTGATCTACTTACATTTGCATGTTTTCAAACTGCTAGGTTTATATTTATTATAAACTGCTAAGTTTATATTTGTTTAAATTGTTCTTCATTTTAATTATTGTATTATTTAAAGTGTTTTTTGCACTACAAATAAGATATGTGCAGCATGCATAGGAATTCATTCATTATTATTTTTTTCAAATTATAATCCGGCCCTCCAACAGTTTGAGGGACTGTGACCCGGCCCTCTGTTCAAAAAGTTTGAGGACCCCTGGTCTACATTAAATGATTTGACTCATAAATTCAAAACTCTTCATCCCAACACCAAGCATAAAGTCACAACTCAGTCAATGAACCATATATGAATAGATTTATTTCTCCTGTTCTCTCACGCACCACTTCCTTCTAAGTGGGAAACTCTTGCCAAAGGTCAAGTCCCTTCCCAGGCCTTTCTGTTGCTCTCTCTCATTACAGGCAGGCAACGAGTTGCAAACATCTGATTTACATATAACTCTATTGCAAACAGGGATGAGACAACAGGAAGTGAGAGGAAATCTACCTCAAGAATGGAAATTTACTCCTGTAAGAGTTATCATGGGAGAAAGGGGGTCTCAAGTGAAGCTTTGTCAGCAATCGTTGTTTTCACAATAATCCAAATTTTTCAAAATCTAATTGTCGCAGGGACAATAAATTGGAATGAAATCTTCTGAACAGGGGTACAGACAGCAAAACTAACATTGTGAGCTGGTAATCCTAATAATAATAATAATAATAATAATAATAATAATAATAATAATAATCTTTATTTATATACCGCTCTGTCTCCCCGTGGGAGACTCAGGGTGGTTTCCAAAACCGAAACATACAAAGTAAACAGCATAACATAAAATTAACAAAAAAACAATGCTATCCAAATAAATTAGCTGGTGTTACAGTTTGAAATGCATTGTTCCAACTTACATACAAATTCAACTTAAGAACAAACCTACAGAACCTATATTGTTCATAATTTGGGAACTGCCTGAACTTCTTAATAATCTCTATCTTTCTCCCTCTTTGTGGCCTATTTCTTTCACTCACCTTTGTATTTCCCATATTTTTATTTTTCTCGTTGTTTTCTTATCCACTGCTGATCACAGTACATATGTTATGCATGGTAAAGATTCAGTATAATATTGAAAAGGCAAGAAAATACAGAAGCTGTTGTACATAAGAAACATCAAAACTCACAAATACCTTAGATGGAGCAGGCAGTCCTGGTGGCCCTGGAGGTCCAGGAGGGCCTGGGAGTCCAACACCAGTATCTCCCTAGAACAGGAGTGAGTATGATATTGTAAAAACTAGAGCATATTTGTTAAATTGTATGATTATTTCATTCAGAGCAACCTTTCTTGCATTACTGAGACCTTGATAAATGAACTGGATGGCACTTAACTTTTGTCTGCCTTGTTTCATCTGGGTACTCAGTGCAGTATTAAACTAGGCTTGCAAGTTAGAAACGGAATAAGTGTCAGCTATAGGGAATCTCTGACATAGGCTGAATCTACACAATCCAGTTTCAGAATGCAAATTAACTGCATTGAACTGCTTTATATGAATCTACATTGTCATATGACCCAGTTCAATGCAGTTAATCTGAATTCTGAATCTGGATTATATGGCAGTATAGATCCAGCCTAAAAGATCTTATTGGTTAAGTTCTGGGTTTTAGAGGTTAGTGTTGGAGCTCAGCCTGTGAATGTGTTTGAGGATCAGGGTGCTTTGGATGTGGGGAGTGGTGTCAATGAGTTTCAAGATAGGAATGGTTTGGTCAATGATATTGATGCAGAGAATGACCAGGAGATCCCTGTTCAAAGTGTAGTTTTCCATGAGAATGTCCCTGAAGGGTGTGGGGATGAAGGTATGCTCCCTGAATTGCTACCAGAGAGTTCCCATGATTTGGAGTTTGAAAACAGCTCGGCACCAGGTGCAGAAATTAATGAGCAAATAGATAGATGGGAGAAGATTAGTCAAAACAGGAAAGCCGAACAGTGGCTTCAGCATTCTGCCAGGCTCTGAGAGAAAAAGATAAGAGATTCTAAACTAAAGTGAAACCAATTCTGAGTGCTTCGAACATAGCTAACAAGGAGATAAAAGTCCCAAGTACAGGATATGTAGTTATATGAAGCATTGTTTGGAATCAAGTCAAGATCTCATCCTTCTTTCATGGAAGCCTAGCTTGGAAGATTCATGTTTAAGTGCAAGCTGTTAAAGTACAGTAAGTCCACAAGTGACAAACATCAGACTTACAAACAACTCCTAGTTAAGAACAGTGCGAGACAACAGGAAATGAGAAATCTACCCCTCAGAGAGAAAATCACTCCAGAAAGAATTTTCATATGGAAAAGGTGTCTCAACTGAAGCTTTCTCACAAATCCTTGTTTCCACAAACAGGACAATAATCACAGGGACAGAAAATGAGGTGAAAGCTTCTGAACAGGGGCACAGACAGCAAAGCAAACACCACAGGGACGTGAAACTTTCCCTATGTTTTCCACAGCTAAAAGATATATATGTATCTGTTCCAATTTACAAACAAATTCAACTTAAGAACAAACATACAGAACCTATCTTGTTTGTAACTTAGGGACTACCTGTATTCACAATAGTCCTTTATTATTGTAGCATCACAGAAAGATCCAATGGACTCTAGTCTCCCTCCTCCCTCTTCTTCTCAGTGTATTTCCCTTTAAACTTCCCTGAGGCCCACCCTTCACATCACCCAGTTGATGTTCCTCAACAAGCCTTGATTCATGGCTGGTCTCTCTTCCTTAGGATTAAGGAGTATGCTGACTTCAGAACTAGGGCGAGACCTTCTGCCTCTCACATTCTAACAAGGGACTTGAGAACTCAGATGAGGCATGGTAGTGCTAAGGTGGGAAGTGGGGATTGATTCTGGAGTTACTGGCAGGACATGAAATAGAGAGGAGATTTGATCCACCAGTGGAATGCTACTGCTAAAAAAGCAGACAGGCATTCAAAATCAAGGTGAGGCATGCTGGTGCCATGATTGGAAGGGGAAGTAGGTGTTGGTTCTGTTGGCAGGGCAGGAAATTGAGAGGAGCAAGGGGAGAAGGAGGGAAGATAGCCATGTATAAATATGTGAGAGGAAGCCACAGGGAGGAGGGAGCAAGCTTGTTTTCTGCTTCCTTGGAGACTAGGACGCGGAACAATGGCTTCCAACTACAAGAGAGGAGATTCCATCTGAACATTAGGAAGAACTTCCTGACTGTGAGAGCCGTTCAGCAGTGGAACTCTCTGCCCCGGAGTGTGGTGGAGGCTCCTTCTTTGGAAGCTTTTAAACAGAGGCTGGATGGCCATCTGTCAGGGGTGAATGCAATATTCCTGCTTCTTGGCAGGGAGTTGGACTGGATAGCCCATGAGGTCTCTTCCAACTCTTTGATTCTATGATTCTATGAAGAAACAGATCAAGCTATCATCTGGATCGATGGAGGCTTATAACAATCACAGTTTTCCCGTTTTCAAGGAATATCCTACACCCTTTTATGTATCACAGGGCACAATGGCTCCATTACAGTTTAACTCCTCCAACTTTTTGAAAACTGAGAGAGTGCTTCCACTCCAGCTCACTGAAGAGAAACAAAGTAATGGGGGATGCGTGGCTCAAGAGCAGTACGTGTGAAAAAGATCTCGGGCTTCTCGTGGACAACAAGATAAACATGAGCCAACAATGTGATGCGGCAGCAAAAAAAGCCAATGGGATTTTGGCCTGCATCAATAGGAGTATAGTGTCTAGATCCAGGGAAGCAGGGGCGGCTGGTCCATTACGCAAAGTAAGCGGTTGCGGTACACTTTTTTTGCCAGGGGCAGAGGCGGTTGACCTGGATGGCTCATGAGGTCCCTTCCAACTCTTTGATTCTATGATTCTATAATTCTGACTACTAGTGATAATCTTGACACCATTAGAAACCAAACAGAACCAAATCAAACTCAAACGAATTAATGTTTTCATCCTTTGTGTGTGTGTGCATGCATGAATGGGTGAGAGGGATGAGCAGCTGAAAGAGTACAGACTGTCTTGTCTCTGAGGAAACTAAGCCCGAAATATGAATATGGTGTTAGGAAGCAAATTATAGGAAAAGCACTTATACAATATGTTGCTATAGGAACTGCTTGGCGAAATCACACTGAAGCAAGCGAATGAACTCATAAAGACATTTACTGTCATAGCAGTTGAATAAACACAGACATGTATTTTAGTAATCACAGTATTCAGTGTCTATTCTTATTTTTTTTAAAAAAGATTCTTCTTCTAAGACAAGCTGATGGAATAAACAAGGCAGTGATATATCTTACTAGACCCTCTGGCAACACTAGTAGAGAAAAGAAATTCCAAAGCAACTTAGTACAAGCCCTATGCTTCCTAGTTATTGGTTGACTCAAAGCAGAGCCCACTGAAGACTCTCATTCCTGGCCCAGAGGAGAGCCAACTCCTCTGTGGCCCTTTCTGCACTGCCATATAATCCAGATTATCAAATCAGATAATCCACATTATCTGCTTTGAACTGGATTTTATGAATCTACACTGCCAGATAATCCAGTTCAAAGCAGATAATCTGGATTTCATATGGAAGTAGAAGGGGCCTGTGTCATACATACTTTTTGCAGAGAAGAGTTAATTCCAAAAGTTTAATATTGTTTACTATTTCATAGAATCATAGAATCTTTAGATGGATCTCCACTGCCGTATAATCTAGATTATCAAAGCAAATAATCCACATTATCTGCTTTGAACTGGATTATATGAGTCTATGATACTTCATCGCTATGATACTTCACCTTGTTGATGGGAAGCTTGCCACCAGAGTGGAAATCATCTATCGGACAGATGGAAAGCTGTTTAACCTCAGCAGAGTGAAAGCCAAAACCAAGGCTACAACATCTGTTATAGAACTCCAGTATGCTGATGACAGTGTCATCTGTGCGCATTCAGAAGAAGATCTACAAGCCACTCTAAACACCTTTGCAGAAGCATACAAGAAGCTTGGCCTGTCACTGAACATCGAGAAAACCAAAGTGCTCTTCCAGCAGTCACCAGCCAACCCCTCTCCAATGCCAGAGATACAGCTTAATGGTGCAAAATTAGAAAATGTTGACCATTTCTGCTACCTTGGCAGCCACCTCTCCACCAAAGTCAACATCGACATCGAAATACAACACCGCCTGAGCCACATCTCCACCAAAGTCTACATCGACACTGAAATACAACACCGCCTGAGCTCTGCGAGTGCAGCATTTTTCCAAATGAAGCAGAGAGTGTTTAAGGACCGGGACATCCGTAGGGATACCAAGGTGCTTGTTTATAAAACTATTGTCCTCCCAACCCTGCTATATGCCTGCGAAACATGGACTGTCTACAGACGTCACATGCAGCTCCTGGAACTATTCCATCAGCGCTGCCTCTGGAAAATCCTGCAAATCTCTTGGGAAGACAAGCGGACAACGTCAACGTGCTGGAAGAAGCAAAGACCACCAGCATTGATGCGATGGTCCTCCGCCATCAACTCCGCTGGACCAGCCATGTTGTTCGGATGCCCGACCACCGTCTCCCAAAGCAGTTGCTCTACTCCGAACTCAAGAACGGAAAATGGAATGTTGGTGGGCAGGAAAAGAGATTTAAAGATGGGCTCAAAGCCAACCTTAAAAACTGTGGCATAGACACTGAGAACTGGGAAGCCCTGGCCCTTGAGCGCTCCAGCTGGAGGTCAGCTGTGACCAGCAGTGCCGCAGAATTTGAAGAGGCATGAATAGAGGGTGAAAGTGAGAAATTTGTCAAGAGGAAGGCGCGTCATGCCAACCCCGACAGAGACCACAATCCACCTGGAAACCAATGCCCTCACTGCGGAAGAAGATGCAGATCAAGATTAGGGCACCTACAGACCCACAAGAATACTGACCCTGGAAGACTAGCCTACTCGTCTAACGAGGGATCGCCTAAGTAAGTAAGTAAATGAGTCTATACTGCTTCAGATGGAGGTGGGACCGAGTGTAGGGCCTTCTCTGCTGACCGCAGTGTCCAAGTTGGTACATAAGAAGAGATAAATAGCCTGGACCTGAGCCATTTAGGGCTTTAAAGGTAATGAGCAGCACTTTGTATCTAGCCCAGAAGCAGATAGATAGATAGATAGATAGATAGATAGATAGATAGATAGATAGATAGATAGATAGATAGGGGTCACAGTTTGATTAGAGCCGTTTACACCTCTTCACCAAGGTCAGTTTGTTTTAACACAGTATGTGAGAGCCAGGTTACTATAGTGTTGGACTACATTTTTGGGGACTAAAATCCCCACTCGGTCATGGAAACGTACTGGGAGACCTTAGGCAAGACACACTCTCTCAGCCTGAAAGTAAAGCAAGGACAGCCCCATCTGAATACATCTTACTAAGATACATACACCTTACGGTCACAATAAATCAGAAATTACTTGAAGGAACACAAGAACAACAAGAAAATTGGAAAGAACAGTAACAAAATCTGAGACTTTTCAATCAGTCTGAGGTCCCTTCTACACTGCCTTATATCCCAGGATCTGATCCCAGATTATCTGCTATAAATTGGATTACATGAGTCTATACTGCGACATAATCTAGTTCAAAGTAGATAATCTGGATTTTATATGACAGTGTAGAAGGGGTCTGAATGGGCCCTTCCACACTGCCCTATATCACTGTTCTACAATTTTTCCAGTTTTTCTCAGTTTCGGAAACAAAATGTGCCGTTTCTTAATAAATTTAACATGCTGAATTCAAACATAATAATTAAATGTGTTAATTGGCTCTGGTTTTTATGCAACAGCTATTTCAATTTTCTCCACAATAGGTAATTCTTTAATAATTATGATAATGCGCCTAACCTTACTGCATGTATATAAACCGTGAATATTTACTAAATTTTAGTCAAATTATATTGCCAATAGTTTATACATGAGAAATATTTATTTAATTAGTCTATTGTTTATGTTTGTGCAGCAAGAAACTATATTAGTAGGCCTAATGCAGTTGAAAAGTCTGAAAGTTTAAATGTCGCTTTAATCGTGACTTTAGTTTATATCCTGTTTGCTTCTCTTGACTTTTCTTTTGTATTCAAGGAAAGGATTGTCTCTTACAATGCTCCAGCAGTAGTCTGACAGCATTGACGGAGTCCATTTGCCTTGATATCTTTTTTCCATAGTGCTTTATTTACACACGTGCGAGGCATAACTACAGTAAAAAGAACAATGTAAAACGATGTTTAATGATACTGTCTCAGTCTTCAACTGACTGACTCTCACCGTTCAAAAGTCTGGCCTTATATAGGGCTTTCTGGCTTTTGCACACGGCACTAATACTGCATCATCAAACTTTCTAGAGTATTCTAGAATCTTCCATAGTGTAAGTCGCAACATGCATTTTTTCAACCATACGTGATCACGTGATTGCTTATATCATAAAAACTAGAGCCAATATACATTTTTAAATGTCATTTTCATTTTCAGCACCCCAAAATCATAAAAGAACAACTATTTTCAGGCCCGCAACTTTTTCTCCGTTGAACAGTGTATTTCGGGATCTGAATCCAGATTATCTGGAAGTGGAGACTCATATAATCCAATTCAAAGCAGATAATCTAGGATCAGTTCCTGGGATATAGGGTAGTGTAGAAGGAGCCTTAATCTCAAAATGTTTCCTTTTAACACAATCACCTTTTAAATGGCAATTTATGGTGTCGTTTTTTTAAACATCAAATCTGCACCTACCTTTTCTCCTTTAGGACCAGGCTCTCCCTTTAATCCAGGTGATCCAAGAGTTCCTGGCATAACCTTAAAAAAAATATATCTTTTCCATTATTATTCTCCAAATAGTTGAGATTGCATTGTTAAATCTGACAAACAGTTAGGGCAACGAAAAGGTTTCTTAATAATTCCAAGAATATGGTATTAAACACCGTTATCCATGTTTTGATGACAACTTAGGATCTCATCACATGAGCTGTGGGAAGTGGAGGCACTCATTTTCCCAGCACAGCAAATCATAGTGTTCCATTCTGAAACTGATTGTTTTATTTTGAGGCTTCTCATGACATGCATATGTTCCCCAGCCTTTCCCCCATTGTGTCCTGCATTCAAAACCATCACACAAGCAATTTCTGCCAGTGCCCACCGTGTATTCCTTTTCTTTCTTTAAAAAAAATTAATTTTATTATTATATAAAACAGAAATGATTTTTAAATTATGTATGTATGTATTTTATCTTTCACAATTTAGCTGTAAATCACCTAGAGCAGTGATTTTCAACCTAGGGGTTGGGACCCCTAGGGGGGTCGCAAGGGGGTTTCAGAGGGGTCGCCAAAGACCATCAGAAAAAAACAGATTTCGGATGGTCTTAGGAACCCCATTGGCAGACAAGACTGAAGATCTCTATGCCTGCCCTTCTCTTCCTTTTTGGTGTTGGTGAACTAAACCCAGAGGTGGCCCTAGGTAATTTTCAACAGTAAGCAAACCGTGTTTCCCCCCCAACCAATCACTGATATATATTTTCTGTTCGTCGTGGGAGTTCTGTGTGCCATATTTGGTTCAATTCCATCATTGGTGGAGTTCAGAATGCTCTTTGATTGTAGGTGAACTATACATCCCAGTAACTACACTTGCCACATTTGCTCCCTTGCCTGGCCCGCTTTGGGTCCGGAGGTGTGCCTGAAGACCCCGGCGTGTGCACCAAAAGTCACCTCTTCTCCTGACTTTCTCCTCAGCCATTGGGACCAAGAGAGAGAGAGAGAGAGGTGGAGATGCCCACCTTTCCTGAAGGAAGGCGCAAAAACAAAGGAGGGAGCGGAGGTGGGAGATACCTCCAGCCGGAGGGGCTCTCTCTCTCTCTCTCTCTCTCTCTCCCTCTCTCTTTAAAGCCCACCAACTACAACTCCCAAAGGTCCAGGTCTACTTTCCCCAAACTTCAGCAGTGTTCACAACTGGGCATATTGAGAATTTGTGACAAGTTTGGTCCAGATTCATCATTTTTTGAGTCCACAGTGCTCTCTGGAGAACTACAACTCCAAAACTCAAGGTCTTCCAGTATTTTCTGTTGGTCATGGGAGTTCTGTGTGCCAAATTTGGTTCGATTCCATTGTTGGTGGAGTTCAGAATGCTCTTTGATTGTAGGTGAACTATAAATCCCAGCAACTACAACTCCAAATGACAAAATCAATCCCCCACTCCCAACCCCACCAGTACTCAAATTTGGGCATATCGCGTATTTGTGCCAAATTTGGTCCAGGGAATGAAAATACATCCTGCATGTCAGATATTTACATTGCGATTCATAACAGTATCAAAATTACACTTATGAAGTAGCAACAAAAATAACGTTATGGTTTGGGGGTCACCACACCATGAGGAACTGGATTAAGGGGTCACAGCATTAAGAAGGTTGAGAACCACTGGCCTATAGCATTCTCGGATGGAGGGCAATTAATAAGTAATTAAAGATGATGATGATGATGATGATGATGATGATGAAATGAGAAAAAACAAACGGGGAAATCTTCAAAATCCCAAAACTCCAAAAATTTTAATTCATGAAAAATGCAATTATGTATTTTCAAATAATAATTTAAAGCACCTGGTCTTAAGAGAAATCAACCTGGTTTGAAAAAAAAATCAAGATTGATCCTAGTAGTCCAGGCATGAACTTCCACAAATATAAAACCTCTTTGGTGATATGGCCTAAGGGCTAATCAATAAAATTTATTTTAAATATGAAACCTGCCTCAAGATGCAAGGTTGTGCTGTGTACACAACATGGCACAGCAAATGACCATCTGAAAAATTTAGTCTGCACAGATGCATACTGAAGCCCACCCATCACTCTAAATATTGTGCAATACTGCTTATCATCTTAATTATATTAAGATTAATCATAGAATCATAGAATCAAAGAGTTGGAAAGAGACCTCATGGGCCATCCAGTCCAACCCCCTGCCAAGAAGCAGGAAAATTGCATTCAAAGCACCCCTGACAGATGGCCATCCAACCTCTGTTTAAAAGCTTCCAAAAAAGGAGCCTCCACCACACTCCAGGGCAGAGAGTTCCACTGCTGAACGGCTCTCACAGTCAGGAAGTTCTTCCTCATGTTCAGATGGAATCTCCTTTCTTGTAGTTTGAAGCCATTGTTTTGCGTCCTAGCCTCCAGGGAAGCAGAAAACAAGCTTGCTCCCTCTCTCCCTGTGGCTTCCTCTCACATATTTATACATGGCTATCATATCTCCTCTCAGCCTTCTCTTCTTCAGGCTAAACATGCCCAGCTCCTTAAGCCGCTCCTCATACGGCTTGTTCTCCAGACCCTTGATCATTTTAGTCGCCCTCCTCTGGACACATTCCAGCTTGTCAATATCTCTCTTCAATTGTGGTGCCCAGAATTGGATGCAATATTCCAGGTGTGGTCTAACCAAAGCGAAATAGAGGGGTAGCATTACTTCCCTAGATCTAGACACTATGCTCCTATTGATGCAGGCCAAAATCCCATTGGCTTTATACAAACAAAAAACCCACATATACACAGACTGGGCCACAGCAACACATGGCAGGGGGTGGCTAGTGTTTAAATTAAACTTTTCTTTTCTGTTGGTGGCATCTTAGAATCGAAGAAATACTGTATTTTTTATTTGGACCAGTTATTTGAATACACAGATATTTTACTAAAATTATTAACAAGCCTGTGTGGTAAAATAAACACTATCACTAAAAACTATACCTGGAATACCTGGAATAGTTTCTGATTGCAGTAATATATAATTGTAAGGAAGTTATTGAAACTAGGTATATGTATTTGAACTGTTTAACTATTTGTTTGGTAACAGTAGCTAAAAGCTAGAAATAACTGGTTGTATCCATTGTGGCGTTGCCAAGGAGACCAGGCAGAGGAGAGTGGAAAGTGGGCGGAGCCTAGCAAGAGAAATCCATCTGCGTTTTAAAAAGAAGCAGTTAGTTTGGGTTTAGGTTCCGAGGAGTTAGGGTTTAGGTTTAGAGGAGTTGGTAGAGGAAAGTATTAGGAGGTTGTAGCTGAAAGAGAGTGAATTGTGAAGCAAAGTTTCGAGGCTTTGGAAAGCCAGATTAAGCTACTGGAAGTTTCTTAGGCTAGAGAGGCTGATAAGGGAAACATAGCCAGTATTCCTTTAGTCTAAGGAAAGGCTAAAGAATAGGGCTGGGCGGTTTCGTTTCGTTAATTCGTAATTCGTTAATAATTTCGTTAATTTTTTCAATTACAAAATGATAACGAACCATTCTGGAGCAATTATTAAAAAAACGAATTTTCAAAACGTTTTGTAAATGCTTCGTATTTCGATATTGTATTCGTTTCGTTATTGTTTTGAGGTCGTTTCGTTATTATTTCCGCATGTCTGGGCCAGTTTTATGGTTTAATTAGTGAAAAAAATTATAATATCACACCAACAGTCAACAACAGAGGGAGAGGGAAGCTTCAGAAGGTTTTGGAGGTTTTTTAGCGTATTTCGCGGTCGCGTCCGCCATTAACGAATCGATTCGTTATTGTTTCGGAAATCGATTCGTTAAATTTTTTACCATTTACGAAATTTCGTAAATATCGAACTTTTTAAAGGGAAAATTTTGTAATTATTTTAAATATCGAAAAAAAAAAACCCCAAATACAAATCGATTTTAGAAACAAATTTTTCCGTTGTTACCCAGGCCTACTAAAGAATAATCTTATTAAGTATCTGATCAAGGGAGGATCAGATAAGGGAGACATCCCTGTATTGAAACTTTGTTTGTAATAAGTGCTTCACCTCAGGAAGATACTGTGTAACCTGAAAGAGTGTAACATTCAACTAACCAAGCATTGTTCTAAGTTCTATAACAAAAGTTACGTCTTGCAACCACACGCTGTGTACTTAATAAAATTGTTAACTTTTATTTGAAGATTGCCTCAGCTCCGTCTATTCTGTGTCCAAGTGCCATTTCTCACAATATTACAACTTACCTCACGTGGTGGCAGAAACGCAGGGAAAAGTAACCAAATAAATCTACATTCTTCTCTCCAGTCACGCTACAGTATATACAGTGTAATTACTACTAAGTTATTACTTTCTTAATAAAGGAGGAGGTGCGATTGAACAGCTTCCCTTCTAACTTTATGGTAAATTTGGTTCCTAATCGGCAACCTCCATTGCAAATCGGCTAGTTCTTTTTAAAATTGGGAACTGGGGTAAAATCTCCTGAACACTGGTTCCTTTCAAATTGGTAGCAACAATAAATTATCCCTCCGCTCCCTTGCTTCTTCGCAATAATAATCTAGAAAATGTGGTAGGTTTTATCCATATTTTACTTTTATTTTTAAAGTGCTTTTCTTTCTTTCTTTAAGTTTCTAGTAATTGTCATAAAACACTTGGGTACGCTCTAGAATCATAGAATCATAGAATCTACAAAACCATCTATACACATAATAAAAGTGAAAATCTGTATGTGGCACAGGTGTCTGTTCACACAGACAACCTCCAGCCTCCACAAATAGGCTATTGTTTCCAGTGCTGAGAAGACAGCAAGTCACTCTCTCGAAGGACATTGCAGGTTATAGCAAGCACATCCCAGTGTTCCTTTCTCTCTTCATTTGCATGACCCCACCCACTGCTTCTCCCTTATCCCGTTCCAACCCTTTACTTTGGCACACAGCAGAGGAATTGATCAGCAACTGAACATACTGGAGAGGTTTGGAGAGAATTCACAATGATTTATAGGAGTTGTAGGGACTGGATGCATAGTTCACCTGCAATCTAAGAGCACTCTGAACTGCACCGATGATGGACCTGGAACTCACTTGACACACAGACCCACCATGGGCAATTGTCCATACTTGCAGAGTTTAGGGGTGATTACCCTGAGAGTTGTAGTTCACCCTTATCTAGAGAACAGTGAACTCAGCCAACGATGGATAGGGACCAAACTTGGCACACAGAACCAACATGGCCAATTGTGCATACTGGCTGAGCTTGGGGGTGATTGCCCTGGGAATCTGGGAGTTGTAGTTCACCCTTACCTAGATATCACTGAACTCAAACTGCTGCCAGATCTGGACCAAACTTGGCACACAGATCCAACATGGCCAACTTTAAGTAATGGCAAGGTTTGGGGTTTTTGGAATTGTAGTTCACCCACATCCTTATGCATTTTCTAATGGGAGCATTAGAATAATAAATAGCATTACACATTACCAAACTGATATTACCAAACTTCACAAAACAAACAATGCCTTCTCAAATAACCCGGGCAGCGCCGGGTCCCCAAGCTAGTTATATGAATAAAGTGGAAAGGAAACAGTTCATCTGATATTTGATGCTGGTTTTCCCCTTTTCCAGAAGCAAATAGCATGAAAGAAACTATGATGTTCACTCAACTCAACTTATTCCAGATTATATTCATTTTCAGTGCTATCAGAAAGGAACTTTTCTTTATCTATTGATATTTAGGACTCATCTGAACATATTCTCATTCACATTGACAGTTTTAATTAACTAAGCTGTGATACTCACAGGTGCCTTGGTTGTCCCAGGTTGTGTTTCTTCCAGGCTTGCTTCTTCTGGAGGTCCAGGTACTCCTTCTTTCTCCTTTTGACCATTTTCACCTTTCTGTCCCTTCAGGTAGGAAACAAAAAACAGGGCTATAATCTTAAACTACTTCAGTGTAAAACTCTTACAAGAATTAGATTATGTTTTGCCACTAAATAAATATATTAGAACTGGGCAATAAAGAACTGTGTGTGAAACACTCCTTTTAAATGCAAATAAAACAATGAAATCAAATATTCAATCTTTTTAAAAGTTATGAATGGGAGAAAGGAAATTGATGTCTATCTCCCCAAGCATAAAGCTGGCTTTAGCCTAACTTTTCTAAGTATCTTCTTACAGAATTTACAATTAGTAGCAGTAACATACTGGTTCTTTCACACCCTCCTTCTCTTTAGATCTTCCAAAGATTGGTTTGTTACATGCCCCAGGATGTATCAATGGATCATAGCAAAAATCATAATTTTGACTCCAAAACACCCTCGATTTATGCATGAGGATGTTATACTAAGCTCCACTTAGTAACATGAGGCTTATTAAAACACCAAAATATATACTTACTTTTTCTATTTTTGCACCTTGCAGAACACTATCATGAGGCTCTGCTTCTGTTTTTAATATTTCCTGAGCTATAGTGGTAGTTTCACTTTTTGGTCTGTTTGTTGCTATAGTGGTTACACCTAAAAGAGACAAAAAAATGAAATATACATAAAAATATGTAAATCATGTAATAAAATAATATTCCATCAGTAAGAAAATAACACACAGTGACCGTTAATAAAAAGATAAAAAGGAATGACAAGGCGCTTCGGTATAAGATTGAAAAGGCAAGAAGACACAGGGGTCGTTCCACAGAAGATGCACCAAAACTTACAAATTTATTTATTTATTAATTTACTTTATTTCTATACCGCTTTTCTCAACCCTTAGGTGACTCAAAGCGGTTTACATACTACAAATTATCACAAGACAGTATCATAGGCCAATTAAAACACATTATACATTATACATAACAGTCAATATCAATAAACAATCATTATCATAGCGCCTCAACAACAAATCAGAATCCATTCTCGTAATCCTTTGTTCCATATTCTTATGTTCGATTGCACCGTGTTCCTATATTCAGTTGCACTGTTTAGCCAAACGCTTGTTCGAAAAGCCAGGTCTTCACCTTCCTCCGAAACGCCAACAGCAAAGGGGCCTGTCTGATGTCTGCAGGTAGGGCATTCCGCAGCCGAGGGGCCACCACCGAGAAGGCCCTGTCTCTCGTCCCCGCCAGGCGCGCCTGTGATGCAGGTGGGACCGAGAGCAGGGCCTCCCCAGACGATCTTAATGTCCTGGTCGGTTCATAGGTGGAGATGCGTTCGGGATTAAGGGATTAAAAGGAGAGGGAAGAATCAGGAAGTGAAAATACTACGGGAGAAATCTTAAGAATGGCTGGAATCAACTGCTACATAGGAAGTGTAGTGTTTAATCAAGCTATTTGGGGCCATGGTGGTGCTCCACAACCAGGGCTCCACAAACTTTTTAAACAGAGGGCCAGGTCACAGTCCCTCAAACTGTTGGAGGGCCGGATTATAATTTGAAAAAAACATGAATGAATTCCTATGCACACTGCACATATCCGATATGTAGTGCAAAAACACTTAAATGCAATACAATAATTAAAATGAAGAACAATTTCAACAAATATAAACTTATTAGTATTTCAATGGAAAGTGTGGGGCTGCTTTTGGCTGATGAGATAGGATTGTTGTTGTGGGCTTTCAAGTAGTTTCAGACTTAGGTTGACCCTGAGCGAGGGCCGGGTAAATGACCTTGGAGGGCCGTATCCGGCCCCCGGGCCTTAGTTTGAGGACCCCTGGTTTAAACCCTTGTGCTGCTGAACTGCTGACCTCAAGGTTGGTAGTTTGAATCCATGGGACGAGGTGAGTTCCCACTGTTAGGCCTAGCTCCTGCCAACTTAGGGTTGTATCTATGTTTTTGATTGAATGTTTGCCTTGTAAACCGCTTCGAGTTGCTGGAAGGCTGAGAGGGATGGTATATAAATATACTAAATAAATAAATAAATAAATAACTTGCTGCACCATTGCGGCCCCTAGATGGGGTCTTAAAGTACCATTATTTGTTTTGTTAGTATCACAATTGTCTGAGAGACGACTTATCAACCACAAGAAAGTCTCCATTCTTAAAAACATGCAGGAGGAGGAGAAGGGAAATGAAAACACACAATACCTTGTTCTTTGGTTGTAGTTGGCTTCACTGTTTCTTCCAAGAGATGTTGTCCTGAGAAATCCATCTCTTCACTAGGAAATGACAGAGTTGGTGGTGCGCTTACTGGCCCAGCAGTAGTTTCTTCTGATGAATTCCCAGGCAGTTTCTAGGAAAGGAATTAGAAACCAAACTTTATCTGGACATTATCTCATTGAAAATATTGTTGTTGTGTGATGAAGTATAAACGCTGTATAAGACCCCATCCACTTTTTGCAGTCTTGAAAATCTACATTGAATAAAATGTGGAAGATATTATCTCAAACAAAGAGCCCTACTGTGACTGTGGTTGGATGTCACACACTGCTCTTTGTTTGGATGCAGACTAAATAGTAGAAAACAGTTGCCAAAAGAATTTATTTATTATTTATTTACAGCTTTTATATTCTGCCCTTCTCACCCCGCAGGGGACTCAGGGCGGATTACAGTGTACAGTGCCATTACTGCTCAAGCAGTGAGCTTTGAGATGGTTGAACAGAAGCTCTCTGAAGCTCTAGGTGCTCTTACTGCCTATTACAGGGAAAACCAGCTGATCCCTAATCCATCTAAAACACAGACATGCGCCTTTCACCTTAAGAACAGACAAGCATCCCGAGCTCTGAGGATTACCTGGGAAGGAATCCCACTGGAGCATTGCAGCACACCCAAATACCTGGGAGTCACTCTGGACCGTGCTCTGACCTACAAGAAGCACTGCCTGAACATCAAACAAAAGTGGGTGCTAGAAACAACATCATACGAAAGCTGACTGGCACAACCTGGGGATCACAACCAGACACAGTGAAGACATCTGCCCTTGCGCTATGCTACTCTGCTGCTGAGTATGCATGCCCAGTGTGGAACACATCTCACCACACTAAAACAGTAGATGTAGCTCTTAATGAGACATGCCGCATTATCACAGGGTGTCTGCGCCCTACACCACTGGAGAAATTACACTGCTTAGCCGGTATTGCACCACCTGACATCTGCCGGAAGTATCAGCCAATAGTGAAAGGACCAAGGCAGAGACATCTCCAGCTCATCCCCTGTTTGGGTATCAGCCAGCACGTCAACGACTTAAATCAAGACATAGTTTTCTTAGATCTACAGAGACACTCGCTGGAACACCCCCGCAAGCGAGAGTCCAAAAGTGGCAGGCTCAAACCCAGAACCTCAACCATGGCTGATACCAAATGAGAGACTCCCCCCTGGGCACACAGAAGACTGGGCGACTTGGAAGGCGCTGAACAGACTGCGCTCTGGCACCACGAGATGCAGAGCCAATCTTAAGAAATGGGGCTACAGGGTGGAATCCTCGGCATGCGAGTGCGGAGAAGAGCAAACCACTGACCACCTGCTGCAATGCACCCTGAGCCCTGCCACATGCACAATGGAGGACCTTCTTGCGGCAACACCAGAGGCACTCCAAGTGGCCAGATACTGGTCAAAGGACATTTAACCAAATACCAAATTTGCAAAATCTGTGTGTTTTTTTTTTCCTTTTTCTTTTTAATCTGTGTGTTTGTTTTGCTCTGTTAGAATTGTAATACAATGGTTGCTGATGACACGATAAATAAATAAATACAGTGTACACATATATGGCAAACATTCAATGCCAATTTTTGACATACAAACATATACAGACATACACAGAGGCTATTTAACTTTTTCTGGCCGCCAGGGGAGCTGTCGCTTTCATCGTCCATCTGCGACGCTGATGAAGCACTTCCGCATTCCCCACATGCTTCCCCGCTGGAATGCTTTTGCTGGAGTCTTCTTTATGGCCTCATAAATCAGTTAATTTAGCCTCCCCACACTTTAAGGTGGTACCTAATTTTCCTACTTGACAGATGCAACTGTCTTTCAGGTTGCAAAGGTCGACAACAGGCTACACACAATTGGTTGGAAACCCACTCCAACCCGGGCTGGCTTCGAACTCATGACCTTTTGGTGAGAGTGATCTTAAGAATAAGTATAAAATGGATACAGGTTTTATGTGGGAGCACTTGTTTTTAAACATTGAACTGTTCAAGAATCAACTGACAGGACCTCATCACATTTAAGTCAGTATGTCAGCGATAGTGGGGGGTTTCACCACTAATTGTGACAAAACTGGCATGGGGTACCCATAACCCTGAGTCACGCTTTGTCCACATTGCCACTTTCTCATCCCACGGGGAGAAGAGTCGCCGTCCGGATTCCCCTGTTCTTCTCTATGCAACACAGAAAACCTCCCGCATTCTGGCTGCTGGCTCTTATGACAGTTTGGTCTCAATTCAGGCATGGATCCCCATCAGAAGTAGATCTACCTTGAGTGAAAGGATTCAGTGGGCTCAGTGCCTGAAGTGAGTTTAAATTGTCATAGGACAGGCAATTTTGCCCATGTGATGAAGTCTCCAAGTTAACTCTCTCTCTCTCTCAGTCTTTCAATTTATCTATTTCTTAGCTTAAACAATGGCTCATAATTTTAAACCTTTCCCCTAGAATCATAGAATCAAAGAGTTGGAAGAGACCTCATGGGCCATCCAATCCAACCCCCTGCCAAGAAGCAGGAATATTGCATTCTAATCACCCCTGACAGATGGCCATCCAGCCTCTGTTTAAAAGCTTCCAAAGAAGGAGCCTCCACCACACTCCGGGGCAGAGAGTTCCACTGCTGAACAGCTCTCACAGTCAGGAAGTTCTTCCTCATGTTCAGATGGAATCTCCTCTCTTGTAGTTTGAAGCCATTGTTCCATTGCGTCCTAGTCTCCAAGGAAGCAGAAAACAAGCTTGCTCCCTCCTCCCTGTGGCTTCCTCTCACATATTTATACATGGCTATCATATCTCCTCTCAGCCTTCTCTTCTTCAGGCTAAACATGCCCAGCTCCTTAAGCTGCTCCTCATAGGGCTTGTTCTCCAGACCCCTCCCTTATACAGCTATTTTAAATATGCTATTTATAGAGGAGATCTTTTTAATTCTTAGGAAAAGAAGAAACAGTAAGAACTGTGTCACATGCAAATCAGTTTGCCTATGTTTGTTCTGTTTATGAGATTCAATAGATACATATAAACAGCAAATTCATTGCCTATGTGCATTAAAATTATTAGATACAAACAGAGGCAAATCATTTTGTTCATTAGAAAAAAGTCCCAAAGATAAAGCTGGATAATATCTCTATACTTACTGGGGCTTGTGAGGGCCAAATGACTTCCTGTGTCTCGGGGATACCCTCCTGTTCCTGCACGCTGTCATGGCCACTGTTCTCTCCTGAAGTCTATCAGAAGCAAGCCACAAAACAGAACTTGGGTCATCAGAAATTTAATGGATAATTCATAGACATATTATACCCACCAAAACTGAACAAACTTGGATTTATTTATTTATCATGTCAGGAGCAACCAGACAGTTGTATTACATTTTTAACAAAACAAACAGACAGACAAAACACAAAGTTTGCTAGTTGATTAAATTTCCTTTGACCAGTATCTGGCCGCTTGGAGTGCCTCTGGTGTTGCCGCAAGGAGGTCCTCCATTGTGCATGTAGCAGGGCTCAGGTTGCATTGCAGCAGGTGGTCAGTGGTTTGCTTTTCTCCACACTCGCATGTCGTGGATTCCACTTTGTAGCCCCATTTCTTAAGGTTGGCTCTGCATCTCGTGGTGCCAGAGCGCAGTCTGTTCAGTGCCTTCCAAGTCGCCCAGTTTTCTGTGTGCCCAGGGGGGAGTTTCTCATTTGATATCAGCCATTGATTGAGGCTCTGGGTTTGAGCCTGCCACTTTTGGACTCTTGCTTGCTGGGGTGTTCCAGCGAGTGTCTCTGTAGATCTTAGAAAACTATTTCTTGATTTAAGTTGTTGACGTGCTGGCTGATAGCCAAACAAGGGAGGAGCTGGAGATGTCACTGCCTTGGTCCTTTCACTACTGGTTTTTACTTCCTGACGGATGTCAGGTGGTGCAATACCGGCTAGACAGTGTAATTTCTCCAGTAGTGTAGGGCACAGACACCCCGTAATAATGCGGTATGTCTCATTAAGAGCCACATCCACTGTTTTAATGTGGTGAGATGTGTTCCACACTGGGCATGCATACTCAACAGCAGAGTAGCATAGCGCAAGGGCAGATGTCTTCACTGTGTCTGGTTGTGATCCCCAGGTTGTGCCAGTCAGCTTTTGTATGATATTGTTTCTAGCACTCACGTTTTGCTTGATATTCAGGCAGTGATTCTTGTAGGTCAGAGAACGGTCCAGAGTGACTCCCAGGTATTTGGGTGTGCTGCAATGCTCCAGTGGGATTCCTTCCCAGGTGATCCTCAGAGTTCGGAATGCTTGTCTGTTCTTAAGGTGAAAAGCACATGTCTGTGTTTTAGATGGATTAGGAATCAGCTGGTTTTCCCTGTAATAGCCGGTAAGGGCACTTAGAGCTTCAACCATCTCAAAGCTCCCTGCTTGAGCAGTAATGGCACGATCATCAGCATAGATGAAACTCTCTGTCCCTTCTGGCAGTGGCTGGTCATTTGTGTAAATGTTGAACATGGATGGAGCAAGCATGCTCCCCTGAGGCAGGCCGTTCTTCTGTTTCCGCCATCTGCTTCTCTGGCCCTGGAACTCCACAAAGAAGCTCCTGTTTTGTAGCAGATTTCCTATGAGGCGGGATAAGCACATACATCTTCCACACACTGATTATGGAGTTATAAAAATAAGCAGTTTGTAGATGATTTTCAAAGATGAAGTTTTAACTTATTTTTCATAAGCACAGATTTTATAAACAGCATATATGAAGCCATGTAGATCGACTCCATATTATGGACTTTCTGCTTTTAATGTTGTGATTTTCTGATCTGAATGTTAATGTTGTTGGGTTTTTTAAAAAAAAAAAACCCAAACTATTTCAAATGTTATAAAGTTTTACACTCATGGCCTGTGACTGTAATAATAAAATTCAAAAATTCAAATTCAAAATAAATTTAAGCCTATGATAGCCAATTTTTTTTTTAAAGGCATACAATTCTCATCCCACTTTGTTCTTGTCTTACATGGAATGTTTCCATAGGGAAGAAAAACAGGGCAACTCTATGTAGGCATTCCTTTGGTGACTAAGGGCTACAGCAGTGTTTCTCAACCTGGGGGTCGGGACCCCTGTGGGGGTTGTGAGCAGGTGTCAGAGGGGGTCACCAAAGACCATCAGAAAACAGTATTTTCTATTGGTCATGGGGGTTCTGTGTAGGAAGTTTGGCCCAATTCTAATGTTTGTGGGGTTCAGAATGCTCTTTGATTTTAGGTAAACTATAATCAACAACTCCCAAATGTCAAGGTATATTTTCCTGAAAGTTCACCAGTATTCAAATTTGGGCGTATTGGGTATTTGTGCCAAATTTAGTCCAGTGAATGAAAATACATCTCATATCAGATATTTACAGTATGATTCATAACAGTAGCAAAATTACAGTTATGAAGTAGCCCTAAACGGTTTTGGCCCAAGTTACCTATCCGAACGTATCTCCGCCTATGAATCCACCAGGACTTTAAGATCCTCTGGGGAGGCCCTGCTCTCGATCCCGCCTGCATCACAGGCATGTTTGGCGGGGACGAGGGACAGGGCCTTCTCAGTGGTGGCCCCTCGGCTGTGGAACGCCCTTCCCATGGACATTAGATCAGCCCCCTCGTTAATGGTGTTTCGAAGAAAACTGAAAACCTGGCTATTTGAACAGGCATTCGGATAAGCAGTGCAATGAATATAATGGATATAGGAAAACGGAATTACGGATGACGAGTTGGATCACGATTCTAGTTACGAGATGTTAATGTGTTGTATATTGATGTTAATTACTTAGTATACTACGGTGTTAATTGTTTTTAAATAGTGTATGTTGTTAGCACTGAATTTTTGCTCTTGTTGTTAACCGCGTTGAGTCACCTACGGGCTGAGAAACTGCGGTATACAAATAAATAAATAAATAAATAATAGTACTCACATAGGGGTCATCATCCTCACATTGATCCTCAGTAGCCCTTACATCAGGCTTGATCGTCAGCTGCTGAATGGAACCCTAGAAAGATTAAGAATAGCAACTCAAAATGACATTCTTTAGGAAAAATCTACACAGAACACATGACAAGCCTTCAGACTTCAAAGGGTCAAAGAATGATGACTTCATCACACGGGGCTGCAAGCGTTGTAGGATGCTTGCAGCACAGTTGTTCTACGGAGCCCCACGTAGCCCATCACACGACACAGGCTCACTTTCAGAAGGCCTTCATAGCAGAACTGTGGCACGAGTATCCTTTGATGCTGCGCCCAGAACAAAGGAGGCTTCCTGTGTTCTGTAAGGAATAACAGGAGCAGTGCAAGGAGAAGCCTTCCTGATATTTTACATTGCCCTATCTCCCAGTGTTTTAAAATTTTAATCTTTGAATTTGGCCATGGTCACCTTGATCATTTTTAGTCTTTTAATGTTTTGATTTTATATTGTTGTGTCGCTTATTTACATTGGTTTTGTATTTTAGGTAAAGGTAAAGGTTGTCCCCTGACATTAAGTCCAGTCATGTCTGACTCTGGGGTCTGGTGCTCATCTCCATTTCTAAGCCGAAGAGCCGGCGTTGTCCATAGACACCTCCAAGGTTCATGTGGCCGGCATGACTGCATGGAGCGCCGTTACCTTCCCACCGGAGCGGTACCTATTGATCTACTCACATTTGCATGTTTTCTAACTGCTAGGTTGGCAGAAGCTGGGACCTTATTTTCTGATTTTCTGTATTGGTGGGTGTGTCCTCATGTAATCCGCCCTGAGTCCCCTTGGGGAGATGATGGCGGGGTATAAATAAAGCATTATTATTATTATTATTATTATTATTGTCATTATTATTGTTATTAACACTTCCTCGCAGGTGAAACAGGGCACAACACTATGGCCCCATTGCCCCACTGACTCACCATGGTGAGTTACCCGGCAAGATGGGCCAAAACTAAGAAAATTAAGTTCAACAGTGACAAACACAAGATACTCCACTTAGGCAGAAAAAATGAAATGGAAATATACAGAATGGGGGACAATGCCTGGCTCGAGAGCAGTACGTGTGAAAAAGATCTTGGAGTCCTCGTGGACAACAAGTTAAACATGAGCCAACAATGTGATGTGGCGGCAAAAAAAGCCAATGGGATTTTGGCCTGCATCAATAGGAGCATAGTGTCTAGATCTAGGGAAGTAATGCTACCCCTCTATTCTGCCTCGGTTAGGCCACACCTGGAATATTGTGTCCAATTCTGGGCACCACAATGGAAGAGAACCACATTTTCATTTTGTTGAAGTTGTCCACATGCTTGTGGATTTCAATGGCTTCTCTGTGTAGTCTGACATGGTGGTTGTTCTAATATTATTATGATATGCAACTAAAACTTATGTTGAATTAATATTTTAATTTTAATAATAATAATAATAATAATAATAATAATAATAATAATAATAATAATAATAATAAAATAATGGTTGCAAGTGGGCACCCTTTGTCTCCTGGCAACCAATATTTTTAGACCCAGGCAACCACTGAACAAAGCATGCAAGTAGAATTGGGAAATAGCATTGGGTATGTGAACAAGACAAGAAGCTCCCACTCACATCTCACCTCAACTATAAATCTGCAACATCATAGAATCATAGAATCAAAGTGTTGGAAGAGACCCCATGGGCCATCCAGTCCAACCCCCTGCCAAGAAGCAGGAATATTGCATTCAAATCACCCCTGACAGATGGCCATCCAGCCTCTGTTTAAACGCTTCCAAAGAAGGAGCCTCCACCACACTCCGGGGCAGAGAGTTCCACTGCTGAACGGCTCTCACAGTCAGGAAGTTCTTCCTCATGTTCAGATGGAATCTCCTTTCTTGTAGTTTGAAGCCATTGTTCGCATCCTAGTTTCCAGGGAAGCAGAAAACAAGCTTGCTCCCTCCTCCCTGTGGCTTCACTGAGTGACAATTTCTCATTGGTGTGCTTTGTGTTCACAGCCATCTCTGTTTTCACCTGCCCCTGCCTGTTCTTGCTACCTTGCTGCTTACCCACATGTAGATGCGCCTGCTTGAATGTATAACACACTTCCACCATCGAGCCTGACACTAAATATCTCACTATTCCTACTTGGCAAGGATGTTGTACTCTTACAATTAGTTGCTCAGGTGATCTCTTTTTCTAATTTCTCCTCCATCACGCGGCATCCTCCAACACTCTCCAATCCTCAAATGCAACTCCCTCAAACACAAACATGTATACGCCTTCCCCATCTTGCTCCCATTCACCAACCAAAGGACTGTGCCCATGTAGGCAAGGTAACATATATTATACACTCATTTACCATACAGTATACTTACAGTGAATCTGTCCAGTCCCGTTGCTCCTGCATTCCCAACAAATATTCCTGAGCTGGATTCAAAGAGCAAGGCGTGATGTGATCTCTGGAAACGGACTCTGTGATATTCCTCACAGTCCATGAACAAGACAATGTCATTGTCCTCTACAGTCATAGTAAAGCGATTCCATTTGTTGGTCATCACTGGCACTTTAAAGGATGCAGCTTCTCGGGATATGTGAGAACCTGGTTCAGTGTAGTACATAATGATTCTCTGTGTGTTATCATCCACAGGTGATAGTCTGATGCCCAAGTATATTGTCTTCTGAAAAGCATCGGTTATGGCAAACAATACCCCTCCATGGTCACTATTTGGTTTGACGGTAACAGTGATAGCAAAATCTTTGTAGAATGGCTGAGGTATCAGAGTTCTTGTCAAGCGGCCTATGTTTGCTTCTGGTCCAAAATTGTAGGCTGGAAACCCTCCGTATCCAGTGATAAAGGAAACTGACGGGGGCAGTGGAACGCCTATTAGTTCTGTTAGGTCAAGATTCCCCTTTGATCCCCTTTCTGTAACACAAGACAAAAATCACAACGTGTTTAGTTTAAGGCTTATCAACACTACATATTTCACAGCTCTTTTAAGCTGAGTCAAGTACTCCAAAACATTTGGGAAGAGGGAATTTTGAAGGCAAAGTTTTCTGACTCTTTCCCTTGGTCATCATGACCCCTTCTTTCTATATATATAAAAATGCTCTGGTCATAATGAGTACCTTAAAAACAAAAGAACCAATGAACGAAATCACACCAAATTTGGCAACAAAACGTCTCACAACACAAGGAGTGACCATCACTCAAAAAATTATGATTTTGTCATTTGGGAGTTGTAGTTGCTGGGATTTATAGTTCACCTACAATCAAAGAGCATTCTGAACTCCACTAACGATGGAATTGAACCAAACTTGGCACACAGAACTCCCATGACCAACAGAAAATACTGGAAGGGTTTGGTGGGCATTGACCTTGAGTTTGGGAGTTGTAGTTCACCTACATCCAGGGAGCACTGTGGACTCAAACAATGATGGATCTGGCCAAACTTGGCACGAATATTCCATATGCCCAAATATGCACACAGATAGAGTTTGGGGGAAATAGACCTTTCCATTTGGAAATACTTAAGGCCATCCAGTCCAACTCCCTTCACCAGGGCAAGAAAACGTAATCAAAGCCCTCCTGACAGAGTCATCCAGCCATAGATATAGATAGATATATATGATTCATACACACACAGATAAAGTATTATAGATTTGAAAGGGACTCCTAAAGATGGACAATTGTATGTTGCATATTCCAGAGTAGGCAAACTAGACAATCTCTATGTCAACACTGTCAAAGAAACATCAAGAAATATTGCTTACCCACAAGCATCAAGAAATTACATATATTAGAAACCAGCACTTTTCTAATTACTTTATTTTCCATATCACCAGACTGAGCCACAGCAACGCGTGGCAGGGGACCACTAGTTTCTTCTAAAAGTTTCTAGTTTCTTTTTTCTGTGATAAAGAAAAGCATGCAAGCAGCAATCTTTTAACAAATTTCCCAGTCAGAGAAGAAAGCTAGTGAGAGAAAAGTAATAGACCCTTTGTGAGCCAGTATGGTGTAGTGATTTCAGCATTGGATAGGACTCTGGAGAATGGTATTTAAATATCCACTCAGACACTGAAATCTACTGGGTGACCTGAAGCAAGTCACACTCTTTCAGCATTTGGGGAAGGCCATAGCTAACCTTCTCTGAACAAATCTTCCCAAGGAAACACCATGAGAGGTTCATAAAGCTCTGTACAGTTCTGGCCCAGCTTACTTGTCCGAACACATCTCCCTCTACATCCCGCCTTGCAGTTTAAAATCATCTGGGGAGACCCTGCTCTCGCTCCCGCCAGTGTCACAAATACATTTGGTGGGGATGAGAGACAGGGCCTTCTCGGCTGTAGCCCCCCGCCTGTGGAACTTGCTTCCCAATGAGGTAAGATCGGCTTCATCCCTCCTGTCTTTTAGGAAGAAATTGAAGTCGCGGTTCTGGGACCAAGCTTTTGGACAGCAGGCATAAATAGCGCTTTGGATATGGAATTTGAGTGGAATGGTGATATTTATTTATTTATTTATTTGTTATTCGAACTTATATGCCGCCATTCCCCTGGGGCTCGGAGTGGCTTACAAGAATGGCTAAAATCTAACACAATTTAAAAACAATTTAAAACAATTTAAAAACAGCAATATCAAAAATCAAAGGCCTGTTGAAACAGGTATGTCTTACATGCCCTGTGGAAAGCTAATAAGTCCCGCAAGGCACGGACTTCAGGTGGCAGAGTATTCCAGAGTGATGGTGCCACTGCTGTAAAGGCTCTGCGTCTGGTTGCTGTTAGACGCAAGGTCTTGACACTGGGACTTCCAATAGATCTTGGTCCTCAGAATGGAGGGATCTCTGGGGTTGGTAGGGGGTGAGGCGGTCCCTCGGATACATCGGCCCCAGACCATGCAAGGCCTTAAAGGTGAGTACCATCACTTTGAAAGTGATCCGATTAGAAAAGTAACCAATGCAGCTGCAGTAAGATTGGTGTTATGTGGCATCTCATCGGAATTCCCGCAAGAAGCCGAGCAGCTGCATTTTGTACCAACTTGAGCTTCCGGATCACCGACAGAGGAAGGCCAATGTAGAGGGTGTTACAGTAGTCCAGTCTTGAGATGACTGTCACCTGGATCACCATAGCTAGGTCATCCATGCACAGGTAGGGGGCCAACCGTCTAGCCTGCCGCAGATGAAAAATGGCGGTTCTGCTAACGGCGGAGACCTGGGGCTCCATCGTCAGCAGAGGGTCCAAAAGGACTCCCAGACTCTTTACCAATGATGACGGGCGTAGCGCCTCGCCATCCAGGGTAGGCAGCTGGATATCCCCACTGCCCGGTTGACCCAGCCATAGGATCTCCGTCTTTGCTGGATTCACCCTCAACCTGCTGGCACGCAGCCATCCAGTAACGGCCTCGAGGCACTGATGGAAATAATCGGGTACAGAGTCCGGTCGGCCTTCCATCTTCAGCACCAGCTGAGTGTCATCGGCATACTGATAACACTCAAGCCCAAAACCTTGAACCAGCTGAGCAAGTGGTTGCATAGAGATGTTAAACAACAGAGGGGAGAGAATGGCCCCCTGAGGAACCCCACAAGAGAGAGGGGACCTCTCAGAGACCAGGCGGTTAATACTGTTTTTATTGTTTTAATTAATGTGCTATTTATTGTTTTAAGTGTTGTTATATTGCTTTGTTATATTTAATGGCATCAAATTGTGCCAAGTGTAAGCCATCCTGAATCCCCCTTTGGGGGGTTGAGAAGGACGGGATAGAAATACTGGAAATAAATAAATAAATAAATAATTGTAGTGTTTCCATAAGCTGGAATGACTTGATGGCACACAGCAACAAGTAGAAGCAATGGACCAGGGGTCCTCAAACTAAAGCCCGAGGGCCAAATACGACCCTCCAAGGTCATTTACCCGGCCCTTGTTCAGGGTCAACCTAAGTCTGAAAGCACACAACAACAACAATCCTATCTCATCAGCCAAAAGCAGGCCCACACTTCTCATTGAAATACTAATAAGTTTATATTTTTTAAATTGTTCTTCATTTTAATTAGTCTATTGTTTTAAAGTGTTTTTTGCACTACAAATAAGATATGTGCAGAGTGTATAGGAACTCATTCATTTTTTTTTCAAATTATAATCCAACCCCCCAACAGTTTGGAGGCCTGTGACCTGGCCCTCTGCTTGAAAAGTTTGAGGACCCCCTGCAATAGACACTTGTCCTAAAACATTATGTGATCAGATTCTATTGTAAAAGGGAACATTTTTGCCCTACACAATACTAATTGCAACAGCATTATACTACCTATAATTTTCATGAATGATGTTTGCAGAGCACTGAGACCTGGGGATCACCGATTGCCATTTCCCCCTTTAAAAAAAAACAGAAGTGGGAGTTTGCAGCAGAGGTGCAGGTGGAGGAGAGCTAAGCACCGGGATTGTGGCGCAGCTGGCTGAGTGTCAGCTGCATTAAGATCACTCTGACCAAAAGGTCATGAGTTCGAAGCCAGCCCGGGTTGGAGTGAGTTTCCAACCAATTGTGTGTAGCCTGTTGTTGACCTTTGCAACCCGAAAGACAGTTGCATCTGTCAAGTAGGAAAATTAGGTACCACCTTAAAGTGTGGGGAGGCTAAATTAACTGATTTATATTGTTTTATATTGTGTATAAACTGTTTTAAATTGTAAGTCGCACGGAGCACCTTGGTGGAGAGCGACTAATTAAGAAATAAAGTGATGATGATGATGATGATGATGATGATTTATGAGGCCATAAAGAAGACTCCAGCAAAGCATTCCAGCGGGGAAGCATGCGGGGAATGCGGAAGTGCTTCATCAGCATCGCAGATGGACGATGAAAGCGACAGCTCCCCTGGCGGCCAGAAAAAGTTAAATAGCCTCTGTGTATGTCTGTATATGTTTGTATGTCAAAAAAATGGCATTGAATGTTTGCCATATATGTGCACACTGTAATCCGCCCTGAGTCCCCTGCGGAGTGAGAAGGGCGAAATATAAAAGCTGTAAATAAATAAATAAATAAATAAATAAATAATAGCCCTTCTTTCTCCCCTGCTTTCCCTTAAACTGGGAATCAAGGACAGGATAGCAGTGGGATGAGGTGCAGGACAGAATCAACAGGGCTTGAATGACTGGACAGCTCTCCTACTTGATGTTCCTGAAATGCGTATTTCCCTCACTTCTCCAAACCTTACAATGTAGAAGTGAAAATCTGGATTCCTAAATCCTTGAGTATTTCCTGACTACAAAACAAGATCAAAAGAAGCACTTTTTTGTGCCTTTGCTAAGTAAACTGCCAAAATCTCTACTAGGGCTGTGAAATCGATGAAAAAAAGGTTTGAAAACTCAATAAAAAATAGGGTGTGTGTGTTTCATTTCTAAAGTGTTTCTAAAGTTTCTAAAGTGTTGTTAGTGAAATTTTTGTTACTTTGATAATAACGGAATTTTGTTACTTTTTCATTATAGTAATTGAGCAAGTGGAGAAATTTCAGGCGCTCCTTTCTCCCTCATTTTACAGCTATTGGGGTGAAACTTGCTACAATGGTAGAACATGTTTGCCGCTGCTAACCCATTGTTTCAGAATGTTTCACTTATCCACAATTTTTGGGAATTTTCAAAGTTTTTATAAACAACATTTTTTTAAAAACCTACAAGAGCTGTCTCCTTGAATTTTCTATACAATGACACAAGATAACAGGGGAATATTCATACATCTACTGATTTTCGGGAAATTTTTAAAGTGTTGACAAAAAAAGCCACAACATCTATTTTATTGAATGTCTCTCATATTACCTGTTCGAATGTATCTCTCCCTATGAACCATTGCAGAGATTAAGATCCACCAGGGAGGCCCTGCTTTCCGTCCCGCCATTGTCACAGGCACGATTGGTGGGGACAAAAGACAGGGCCTTCTTGGTG